GCAGAACACTGCACTGTAATGATCCATGTTACTTTCTTTACCTGTCAGTGGTTTTGATGTTGTGGTTGGTGGGTTTAGTGTGTTTATTGGTGCCAAAGTCATTTCTTCAGTTACCAGGTGTTCTCTGAAGCAAGACATTTAATCAAAATCAACAAATTCAAGGGGAAAAAAAACATCAACTTTAGAGTTGGTGCTTTTATTCAGCAGCATGACCAATTTCCATAAGCCAGACCTTCCATATTTCCATAAGTTAATGGTGCATGGGTAGCTTCCTGAGGTGGGAAGCGTTCATGTTGGCCTGGATGTAAAGTGGCAAGTAAACAAAATTAAGGCGAGCAACACGAGGAGCAATAATGCCATGAATTCACTGGCCTTTGAAGGAATTGCCTCAACATGTCAAACTTTGATGTACATGGATCCGTCGTGTGTTTGCGTAGGTAGCGCTGTACAACCCGGAGGCAGAAGGCAGCGAGAGTCCAGGAAGTCTGGGCAGCCTGAGCAACAGCCTCTCAGAGCAGAGTTTGGCGTCCGTCAACCTGAACAACCTGAGCACGGCCGTCAGCAGCGGCGGCAACGTCCACAGCTACACGCCGGTAAGATCCGCTCTTCACTTCGGGTGTTTGTCTGATGATTGTCGCTGGAGAATTTCCCTTTTTTTTTTTTTTTCTTTTCCTGCTGCGTCTGTCTGCACAAGTTGACCTGAAGCTGCTACAGACTTGGTGTCTTTTTTAAGGACACTTCAGCACGGCCAGCGTTCACTCCCACTGATTTTTCATCTCCAGCTGGCAAAATTTGAGTGTACCAGCATTCAAACTATGTATTTTTTATTTTTTTTTATATGCTCCGTGTTCCCTCGATTCTGACATAATCTGGATGATTCAGTCAGTGGTCCAGACACCCATTAAGTACAGAAGGTGTCTGCTGCACCCTTAACAGACTGAGGAGGTGGTAACCAGCTAACAACATGTACTCAGAATCTACAGTGCGCCGCTAAAACTCTCATTTTGCGCTTGATGTTCAGACTTTGCATCCAAATATATTTTCAGTGGTCTCTGGTGGAGCTCGTTCATTGTGCACAGATGACATGTCCATTGCTTTATATCAGTAGAGTTAAGCAGAGGGCATGGACTAACACATTCTTATGACTTTAGAAAGACTGTAAATTCCAGTTGTGCCCACTTACAGCACAAGTTATTTTATTATTTTGCTTTGACATGCATAAAAAAATGCAAATTTAAATGGGAAATTAAATACAGGGCTTCTTATGTAAAGAATATATGAGAGCTTGAACAAATTGACCCCTTTCAAAAAGTGTTTACTATTTATGTACTTACTGTATTATTATTTTTTTCTTTTCTACGTATTGAAACGCATTTCAAAGTGCAGATTGATTGAAAACTCAGTTGCTGCTTCGTGAATGTTGCATTCATATGCACTTATTATTTAGCTTTTGAATTCAATTTTGGAGACTATCAATACTGTTTGCAGGCCTCACAGCCCTCAGGGTCGAACAGCACCAAATAAATTCGACACCTATGGGAACTGGTGGTGTGCTTTGATGCGAGCTCGCTTCCGTCATGCAAAAATTAAAAGAGCAGGAAAAATTAAAACGATCCCTTTGTGTTGTCAGTTCATCTTTGTCATCTCTGATGCATTTTAATGACGGCCGACCATGCCAGTATTAAAACATTTAAAACAAAAGGGACCAAATTGCACATAATTAGAAGCAGATCATTCTTTTAGTCGGCAATCAAACATTGATATTGTGCTCTACTGGCAGCCTTTTAAGGGAAAAGTTGTGTGTGTGTGCGTATTTGTGTGTGACTTCAGATAAAAAAATAAAAATAAAATTCCAACACGGCGATCCGACATTGACACCCACTTCACGCTGTGATTGGCCAGCTGTGTGGAGGTGAGAGAGGAGCCAAGGACTGTACTTGTCTCTCCAGCTCGCTCTCTTTTTATTTTTTTTCATTCGTTACATAACTATTTGTGGTTATTTATCTATACAACCAATTTCAACAATATGAATGTCTTCCTGGGGAGACTGTCATCCCCACACCGGCACCTCTCCACCGTCACCACCATCAGCTTTCAGAGTGGCCATTTCCATCACATTTTTGATTTCAAAAGTAGTCATACAGCACATCTTATCAACTCTTTCTGACAAGCAATAAGCTGATCCTGTGACTCGTTATCGTTTGAGGAGAAGGGAGGTATCTGGTAGCCTCCTCACTCCCACTAACGCCGCTCTCAGACACGCACTCCCTTCTGGTAATTTGACAGCAGCTAAACATGCCGGCTTTGTGTCTCAATGAGCACTCCGGCTCACTTTTCCGGCAAAGTTGCACTGGCAAGCTGACTGAGACGGACATAGCAAGGGTTCTGTATCCCCTTCAACAGTCTGAAATGCACGCGTTGCAATAACAGATAGGACTTCACAAGCAACAGTAGGCCTAGCTGCAGTCGTGTGAAGTGATTTGGAGAAGGCTTTCTTACATCTCAACACCAATAATGGTCCAAAAACATCACAGAGAATGCAAAAAACACAGTTTGCTTGCCAAAATCATAAATCACCTTTCTCAAGATATCCTAAATTGTAGGTTTGTTAAATACCTGCAGCATCAGACGGCAGCAGCATCTCGAAAGCAGCAAAGTTATGTAGATTGAGTCACATGGAACAACAGCAGCACCTTAATAAGTATCTTATAAGTATGATTTATCCCCAGCATGGAGACAGGAGGGGTAGATGGGGGTAGTGCAGTTTAGTACTTGGCTGTTAGGTTGCCACAAAAACCTGTACTCTATTTGGACCGTTCCCTTACACATTCATGCTGTCTATAGTCTATTAGCTTTTCTCTTGTGTCACCCTCACTGCTCGGCCATCTCTGATTGGCTTTAAAAAAAAACCCCATTTTTATCATAAACTACGGATATTTAAAAAGTTATCTGGGACATTTTGGATGGTTATATAACATACTTTCCAAGCTATATATGTACATTTTAGATTTTAAATTTAAGGCTATTTGTGGATGACGAGGGCTGCGAGGTGGCTCGGTGGTTAGCACCGATGCCTCGTAGCGAGAAGGTCGCTGATTTGCATCACCTGGGATCTTTCTATGTGGAGTTTGCATGTTCTCCCCGTGCAGCGTGGGTTCTCTCCGGGTTCTCCGGCTTCCTCCCGCACAGTCCCAAAACACGTTGAGGTTAATTGGTGATTCTAAATTGTCCGTAGGTGTGAATGTGAGCGTGCTTGGTTGTCTGTCTCTAAGTGTAGCCCTGTGATAGACTGGTGACCTGTCCAGGGTGTCTCCTGCCTTCACCCTGAGTCAGCTGGGATAGACTCCAGCTCCCCCGCAACCCTAGTGAGGATTAAGCGGTGTATATATAATGGATGGATGTGGATGACGATGTCTCGGGAACATTTCAAAATAAAAGCTTGAAATTTTCACTGTTAGTCCTTATCATTTTTTAAGCAATAAAGTAATACTGGATAAATAGATCCAATAGTCTCTGATTATGGGTGAGTTGAAATATTAAAAATTGAACTGAAGCCATCATAAAAAAGCCATCTCTGAGCACACACATTACAGTGTGTGGAAAAAATGTTCTGAAAATGGGTCGACAAGCCTTTTTAAAATAAACTGTATTTGATATATGAAGCTAAAATTTTACAAATATCTTTATTTATTAACATTTTTGCGATGAAATTTTCAGGTAAACCAGAGATGGTTGGAATAGTTGATGATTTAAGATGGACTCTTCTATGTATATTCATGCAACCAGCAGATAAATGTTTGAGAGCAAGAAGGTACTTGACTTTTTTCTATATTTCTTTGTATATTTTTTCATTCCGTTTATTTTATCTTCTTCATCTTTTCCCTTCGTGCTGCTACGACACAATCATTTTCCCATCGCGGTCATCAAAGTTCTTTTCATTGAAATCTAAATATAGGAACTTCAGACAGACTTCTATTGCCTTTGATGTTTTTTTGTCACAGTGTTCATGTCTGTCCCTTTAAACCAAATATAATCCAAATTTAAAGGGCAGTCTCCGTTCAAAAACATTTGGTCCGAAATTACAGGCGCGCTGAAAAAAATCCCAACTCTTCATTATTTCTCCCTTGTAACAGCTGCTCACCTTTTTACCATCAATCACTTTTCCCTGCTCACCTCCCACCTGCATTAGCAAAGGTCAGTGCAATCTCATCTCGTTAACCTCTCATTTCTAGAGGCCATCTTTTGTTTTCCTCCTCCCTGCATCGCCTCCTCCTCCTTCTCCTCCACCTTTCTTCCCTTCCTTCTTCTTTTCCAGACCTCATCTGCGGTTTTAGTCCGGCGGGATCGGGTTTAGTTCTGACTCATTACCTGGCGCAGGTGATACCCTCCTGACTGACGGTGATTACTGGTGGCATCGCTGGCAGAGATCTCCAAGACGCCAAGAGAGGTTTTTAGGGAAACGGCCGCCATTATTGGGCGGAGGTAGATGCGTGGGTGGTGTGTCGTGGTTAGTTGGCTTATATTTGGCGGAGGCACACTGATCGCAGCAAATTGCTTGCGTTCACTGGGTGGACGGCGAGGAACGTGACAGCTGGGATGAAATGATTGAGGGTACAGGAAGACCGGCTGCATTTACAATGTGAGGCAGGAATCTGAAGCGCTACAGTTTGTTTTCGTGTGTTTGTGTGAAAAGAGATGAGCGGCAGCATAGATTTTCTTTCGGCCGTGCAGAATTGAATTCGGTGTGATCATCATACTGAAGGGCTGAGTTTAAAAACAATATTTATAACAGTAATTAATATAAAAAAGAATGAGTTTGAAAGGCTCAGTTGGAAATTTGATTTAACGCTGCTAAATAGAATTATTGGATTTTGTTTTACAATGCAGCTCACGCAGTCGAGATTCAGGTTTAGTCCATTTAGATTCAGCTACTAGAAAGGAACATGCAGCCAGAAAAGCAAGGACTTAGTTTCTGTGTTGGCTGACAGGCAGCAGCCCACCGGGCATCATTTTCTTCTCACACAGAAGATGAACACTTTCCTCTCCTTGCTTTTGAATTGTTCCTCGCCTCATGATAACGCCGTCTCAAACGAGCGGCTACTTTTAACCTGATGAATGACAGAAGCTTAACGAACAGATTCAGAGATGATTTTAAATTTCGGTTACATACACGTGGCTGACATTTATGAGATAAGATAAACTTTATTGATCCCTCACTGGGGAAATGTACAAGTTGCAGCAGCAAGATACAAATGAGGCCTAAAAGAAGCAAGAAAAGGCTAAAATAAAGATATAATAAAAACCATGTGCACCTTTCATGTGTACAGATGTGATGCAGGTATCGCATGATGTCCTAGATTTAAGGTGCACATTGCATGCATAATCCATGTAGTACCTTTGTCTTTTTTTTTAAGCATCTGTATAGCATTTTGTGCTCAGATTGGCCTGAACAAGCTATTCTGTGTTAAAAAGTTGAAACATGTTGGTGTGCGCAACACACAGTTCATGTTTTTGCATAATCCATGAGTTTTAAGACTTAATAGAGCACTAGACAACATTTTAAACATTCAGCAGCTTATCATTTTGCAATTGAGCAACAGTTTCTTTACAATTTAAATTACACCATGTCATTCAGGTTGACACAGAAATTGTTGGTCACATGTTTTGTAAGCCATCCAATCTTACTGCATATATGTGTCCTATACAAATGTGTGTGTCTATTTACCACCCAATGTAAGGTTCATGCCACGGCTGCCCTAAATTACCAGCATTGTTAATTACCAAAATCATTTTATATGTTTCTGTAATGGTTATTACACCAGCATGTAGAAGCTCTTTAACCAAAATAATATTTTTAATGCTACAAATATAGTTATTGTTGTTGTAAGTTACTGTTTTACAAAAAAACTGAAAATTTGATAAAAGTACATTATTAATTCTTTGATTAAGTCGTCAAATTATAGTCATTTACTTGCATTCCTGATCAAAAAAAAGAAGTTTTCGTAGTTGAAGGTTGTGTTTGATTAATTCCTGACTTCTCAGAGAAGCCCAGTGAGTTGGCTCAAATTTGGGTAAAAAGGTGAATTCAATTTGAAATTCCTCATTCCTGTTCAAAATGGTAAAACGTAGCGAGCTCACTGAAAATGAAAGAGTCACATCAGACAGATGGTCTAACAAATTTGTTAAGCATTGTATACGTATGGTCTCTCCCCTGACTAGCTGTCTTGACAAGATATCTACCCTCGAGATCTCTCAGGTTCTCTGCTCGTCATCTCTTAGTCGGTCCAGTCTCAGACCCACTTTCAACCTCCAACCTGTGGAAAGGCCTGTTGGAGGACCTGAGAGAGACAAAGAATGTGGATATGTTGAAAAGAAAACACCTTTCTCGTCTGCTTTTTATTTAATTTTCTGTAATTTCGTATTCATTATTCTATTATTCGCAGTAATTAATTTTTTACATGTTTAACTCAGCTCATGCTGTTTTTAACTCCTTTGATGTTCACCGCTTGATTGATATCCTTGTTCTTCGTCTGACGCCAGGCGCTCCATAAAAACATTTAGAAACACTGAACCTGCATACGTAGCTGCCACACTAACTCCCTCCACCTTGTGTTTGCCTTTCAGGTGTTTTTCATGTATTTTAAACACAGTGAATGTTGTGTATCTCAGGCTCTGTTGTGGGATTTGTTCGCTCAAGAACAGTCTCTGCCAATATTGCATACATTTGTTCCTAATCATCACATAAGCACAGCTGCACCGCCATACGAAGATGGGAATTATTTATTGCAATAAATGATTAATACCTCACAGTAATCTACCAGTGCACATAGATGCCTCTGCACAGACATAGATGATCAACATACGATCAATTTTACTTGAAGACTATGTGATTCCCCCCCACCTGTGCCGCATCAGTTGCAACATCACCTCAGTTGCAAACGTGATTCACTCTTTGATATATTTTTCTAGGAATACTGACATTCACCGATTATCCCTGTGTCTTATTTGATCTCAGAGTCGATCTGTTTCTTCCCCCTCTGTCTGATTTGAAGGTGAGCAGCCACTCGGAGCCTTCATCTCAGTCCCTGAGCCTCCAGCAGCCCACCCAGCCGCCGCCGCCGCCTCCTCCGCCCCCGCAGCCTCAGTACGGTTTGCCCGTCCCGGAGTCACGGGACAAGCAGCTCTGCTTCTCGGACTTTGAGGACCTCAGCGCTTCCTTCCGCAGCCTTTACAAATGCGTCTTTGAGCAGTCGTTCTCGCAGCAAGGTGGGTGTCAAACCCTCATTTTGCATGTGGATCCGTTTGTCTGTTCATGTGTCCAACGTCTACAACAACACGTGTGTTCGCACAAACAAAAAAAAGAAAAAGAAAAACCTCCATGTCAAGCTTCATGCACATAATTAACTGGCAAGCTTAAGCTTGCCTTGAAATTCAAACAATTTAACATTGCTTTCATAGCAAGCATTTCAGTATTAACCTCCGCCGCACACTACTCCTACTCTATTGTGTTTTAATAAACAAACAATCTGTTGTTCCGCATATCTGCATTTTACGGCTCGCTCAGTCAAATGAGTAAAGGCAATTAAGAGTAAGAATTCAACAGAAGGAGAAAGGAAAAACTCACAAACACATCTGTAGTCGAGCAGAGCAAAGGGTTCTGCCGCTTTGATAGCAGCTAATTAGATTGGTTCTAAAGTTTGTGAAGCATCTCGCTAATTGCTTCCTGAAGCTTTCAGGTCACCAGGCCTCCTCCCTCTTGGACCCCCCACCATCCCACCACCCTCCTATCACCTTCCCCCTCATGCTTTTCTTCTCCCCCGTACACATCGGCGAATGTTCTGTAACCGAGGAGATTGATGCGCTCTGTTGAGCTCCGGCAAGTGTTGCCTGGATTCACCCTCTGACAAGGTCCCCTTCAATTTGTGGTCAGGGGTGCACACGCCAAAGATAAGACGATGAGAACGCTCGCTTAAAAAAAAACAACAAGAAGAAAACAGAGACAACAGAGAGATCTAGAAGGAAAATGAGGAAGAAAATGGATTTAGTGGATGCTTGAAAGGGTCCCTTAAGTGTGAGGCTTAGCAGGGAACAGTGTCAGCAGTCATTGTATTCGAGAATTTGAGTCACAATGAGTCACCCAGACAGCAGAGCTCGTCGTCTCCTCGGAGAAACCGCAGCGAGTTCAAGAGCACATACCAAAACCGTGTCGCACTCACACATCACAGGTGAAATGGAGACTCAAAAGAACCTGAATAGAGTAAATTAATAAAACATCAGTGGGAACAATTTGCAAGATCGAGCACGAAAACAAACCATTTTGCAGCCCGAGTTTAAAAATCATACTCTATTTTCTGTTACGATAAAATCAAAGAGACTTAAAGAAAGGAGCCGCGTGTCAATACGAATCTGAACAACTGTGTTCATCCCAGTAAGACATGACAGCTCTCATAACAACTATACAATGAACGAGGAAGGAACAACACAACCATAGTTAGAAACTCTCCATGGATTTCCAATAAAGTGTAAATACAAATAAAATAGTAGATAAGATGCCTTTTCAGAAAGTCTTATATTGACACGCGGCAGAGGGAGTAAAGAAGCTGCATTAAAACCACTTTTCCAAGCAGGTAAACTGTAATGACTCCCTGGTGGCAGCAGTGGAAACTCACTCACTGGGATGTGCTGAGATAGACTCGGTATGCTCGTCGATTTCCTCATAATGTGTTGATCCTCCCAAAAAAAAAGGAGAGATTGAAGTGATAAGCAGTGAAACAACAGATAAAAGCAAAGGTCAGAAGCCTCAGATAACAGATTTAACAACACGTGTGCTGATGGAAAGGAATGCTTCTTCTAAAAAAGGCTCTGTCATGGTCCCTTTCTGTTAACGTTCCACCTTAATTTATTTTTGAACAAACTCTTAAGATTTGTTCTGCGTTTAACTTAGATTAATATTTAGAGGGAAAAAAACCCAATCCAACAACCAACAAAGCAGGAAGAGGACAACCAAGGTCCAGTTCCACACAAGACAAAATGCAACATCGTCTTAACAAGCGAGCTGCCAACTTAAAGTTTCTGCAGCTGTCACTAGCCATGATGAAAAGTAAAGCAGATAAAACACGCTCTTGGGGTAACCTGAGCATGCAAGGAACTGCATTTCACAAGAATCCTCGGCTGTGTGCCAGACAAAAGTATAAAATGCATAGTTGATGACAGAAACTGTGTGTGTATGAACTCATTACATTGTTTAGGATAACTTATTTTTGCAGAGTTTGTCTTCTCTCAAAAGCCAAACAGGAAGAATTAAAAACTTTTTAAAAGTTGTATAAGCTGTATAGTTGGACAGACCCTCCATAATGTAGATTTTGGTGGCTAATCTGAAAATTATTAAATAGGTGCAGTGGGAGTGGAGCAGAAACATCTCAGAACCATGGATTATCCTGTAACGGTACCCAAGGGGCCTGCACCCTAAATTATGCATAACTTTAAACCTTAATACAATTTAAACAGAGTAGCTCTTTAGAAATCAATCCCCTTAACAGTGGTCATGAATGGGTAAATTACCTACAGAGACCAAAACTGATCTCGTGTCGGCCTGTGAACATGTTAACTTCTGCTGTGAAGTTTAGCATTTTAACATGGGAGGGTCTGTGGGGACTGACTCACTTTTAGAGCCAACCTCAAGTGGCCATTTGAGGAACTGCAGTTTTTGGCTCTTCAACATAGGGTTCAGTTTTCAGATCCTGTAGGTTGCTGCTTGGAAAATCAGTTACTTGTTTTTCAAGTTTTTGTAGTTTCCTGGTTAATAAAAGTTGTTGGATTAGTTCTTGTGCAGTAATTTGACGCCGAGGGATTCGTAAGTATCAGTTACGGAACTAGAAAACAAATCACTTCTAGTGCTCTATGTGCTGTAGCACAGGTTAGAAACTGGTATTCAGTTTTGTATTTAGCTGATTAATTGCTAAATGAAACTGGACAAATGTGTGGATATGAGTATGTTCTTTTAAAATCACTCCTTAAAACCCCTTTATTTAGACTTGCTCGTATGTCCTGTTGTGTATTTTATTAGTTTGTTTTTTTTCTCTTATATCCTTTATTTACTTACTGAATTTTTTTTTTTTAACTATTATTATTATTGTTATTATTATTATTAGTAGTAGTAGTAGTAGTATTCCTCGACTTTTGCTTCTCTGGTCTTTGGACTTAGTGGCCTTCTGTTATTCAGTGTTCTTCCTGAGTGTCCTTGTTTTCTGGCCAGTCTGAAATGCACTTTGTAAAATCCATCCATCCATCCATCCATCCACACACTACTTAATCCTCACTAGGGTCATGGGGGGCTGGAATCTATCCCAGCTGACTCAGGATGAAGGCAGGGGACACCCTGGACAGGTCACCAGTCTATCACAGGGCTACACAGACAACCAAGCACACTCACATTCACACACGGACAATTTAGAATCGCCAATTAACCTCAACAAGTTTTTGGACTGTGTGGGAGGAAGCCGGAGAACCCGGAGAGAACCCACGCTGCACGGGGAGAACATGCAAACTCCACGCAGAAAGATCCCGGGTGTCCTCACCGGGATGCGAACCGGTGACCTTCTAGCTGCGAGGCTACGGTGCTAACCACCGCTCCACCTCGCAGCCGTCTATATCAATAAAGTTTTTAATATTATTATTGTATTGTTATTATTATGTTATAAGAAAAAAACAGATGAACTACAACTTTACTATTGTCTGTTGTATTTATTTATTGATGTTCGTCTGTTTTTGCTCCCCCCTCCTGCAGCAGGTTTGATGAGTATTCCCGGCGACTCCAGCCAGCAGGCCCGGACCGCCTGCTCCTACCAGCACTCTCCCGGCGCGGGAAGCGGCGGCGGCGGCCACCACCACCAACACAACCACAGCCAGACGTCCCACCACCCGCACCACCCTCACCTCTCCCCCCACTCGGCCCACAGTCAGCACCAGACTCACGCTCAGCACCAACAGCACTCTGGTCATTCCCAGCAGCACCCGTCTCTCTCCCACCAGAGTCACACGGTACAGAACTGCCCCACAACAGGTGAGAACACACTCGCAAGTTCTTGTCCTGATTTTTTTTTTTCCTCCCATGTTTCGAATCACAAGGCCTCTACAGTATGTGTAGCATTTTAACAGCTCTGACCTTGGTGGCACCTGCTGGTACACGGCATCAGAAAAAAAAAAAAAAACAACACTGTGGCAGACAGCAATGTACAACGGCTGCCCTTGAATGTGTTAAGAGCAGCATTAAACTCCAACTTTTGCCTCTTGGATTGAATTTAACGACAAAGAAATACCAATCAAAATAACTCAAAGTACACTACAATCAACATTCCACACATAAAGACCTTAAATTTGCACTTGAAAGTTTTCTTTGAATGATAAAATCAACACTCACCACCACATCAATATGGTAGCCCCCTAAGTTACTGCACAATACAGTCTACAAAGGCAAAGATTCTGTACGAGGTAAAAGGCAATTAATGTACTTGAAAACCCTTATTTCAAATTTTGTGCCCCTTTTCGTCAATCTGGACATGCAGTCCCGCATCTACCAAGAATAAACATCCGTAATCTGCTCAGAAATCTTCTAAAAAGCCTTTATTTTTTCGATATCCAGAGCTGCTTGTACGTGCACACTGCAAACAGGAATAGCTAATACGGACCAGTTCATGGTGCCTGTTTCTCAAAATGTAAACAAGTGTAGGCTAAGAAGGCAGGGCTGAAGTCGTATCCCAGAGCTAGTTGTTTGTCCGTGGAGGGAGCCACAGTGTTAGACTTTGAAAATCCCTGCTCTAGGATATTGTTATGGCCATCAGTTTGAAATGCTTAGCCTCGTTAATGAGAAATCATGCTGTTTCTTGGTCACTGTTGCTGTTTACACTGTATTCTATAGAGTGTAAATACAGCGTGGGGCATTTCTGATGGCAGTTTGAGAAAAATAAAATCCAATATTAACCCTCTGAAACCACAGCAGTTCCTGGGTGTGTTTTGCTCTTGTTGCATTTTTCCTCACTGTAGACTCATTTTTCACTGCAATATAAAGTCCTGCACCTCTATGGAAACCATGGCTAGAATCAGAGGGAGATTAAAAGAACTCTGACAAAGTTGTAAAGCCACAAATCAGAAAAAATTAGAAAATGTAAGTTGAATATCGTTGATTATTTTACAAAAATAAAAACTAAATGGAATTAACATGTGTAAATGACCACAGGTGTTACCAGTACTGGAAAAATGATGACCCTGTGCACTACTACTTTCATTTTTAATGAGTTTCCACTCTGTACACAGCCTGCAGTTCAGCCCAGTGCAGCAGAAGAAGTTTCAGAATTGTTGTCACATGACTGCTGGTCACAGCTGAGCCACCCATGGTGTCTCAGTTCTTTTTGTTTCTTACCTAACCTGGTTTATTTTTGGCCTTTTCTCAAACAAGAATAAAGTGAATTTGATTAAATAGCATGACTTTCAGCTAAGATTTGGGTAATTTCCCCAACTAAACTGAAAAATTAGTTCAAGGACCGTTGAGAAATTCTACAATCTTTCTGTTTTTACTGTTTCTGATAAATACTGTGATTTAGCCTTTTTTTTTTTTTTTTTCTCCTTCAAGATAACATGCCGTTAAAACTCCGGGGCTAGTTCTCTGGGTTCAAAGGGTTTAGAGTCTTACTGTCAGCCTGGTTTTAGCTGCTTTTAACTTGTCAATGAACTCCTTCAAATATGTGCAACAATAAAAATAGCAAAGGCAGAATACTTTTCAGCTGATCTAGTGTCACTACAGGACTGATGGTGGGGGTATCTTTAAGTAATGGGTTAAAGTTTAGTATTCATAACAAGGCAGCTCACAGTTTTCCTCATTCTGTTGCCATAATAAGAATACAGCAGGAGGAGAAGAGCTGCTATGACCAGGATTTTATACTGTGTCCAACATACTCACCTTTTTTAATTGACTCTGCTGAAAATAACACACAAAGTGTACAGTATGGTTTCCTGGTTCACATATATTGATGCAGTGCAGCACCAAACAATGATTCCCAAAACCACACCGGTATAAATGCAATGCACCGAACACATCGCAATCGGCTCGTCTCTGTACAGACTCATTGCATTTATATGATATTCTTCCCTCTATAAGGTCCCAGAGCAGTTAATATTATGAGGCTGGACCGGTACAAACAGGCATCTCCAAAGCTTCACCGAGGCTTTTCCTGCTCATATTCCCAATCTGTGCTTTTTCCCCCCTCCTCTGTCTCTGTGCAACAGAGCTCTCAGGCCAGTGAAAAAGACTATTCAGACATGATCTAGGTTAGTATTCTCCTCAACCAAGCTGAGGATGAATGAAAGCAACCCCCCTGTCTTTGATCCACGGCTTGAGAATGTAATGTTGTTTAGTTTGTGGTGGTGAAAAGCATCTTCTTCTTTTTTTTTTCTCTCAAAAGCAAAGCTGGGGCTGGAAATTTTCTGTGTGAACTCATACCACCTTGTGGTTGTTCGCAGAACTCAGACTGAGTCAAATTTGACTTCTTTTTGAATATGAACCTGTTTTAGATCATTTAACGCTGCAGTGCTGCTCGGTATCATATTCTCACTGTCATCGATTATTGGTAATCAATGATAAAGTGAAATTGTTGTTAACTGATGAATAATTAAAGTCAAAACTCCCAAAAATAACCTGTTCCTTCAGTATGAGGATTTCTGTTTCCCCCCTGTTTGATATCAATTAAAGTTATGGGAAAAATACACAATTTAAAGACATCAAATTCTTAATTTTCCAGCATTTTATAAACTAAATGATTAAACTGGAAGAAAAAAATTAAATTCTCTTCATCTTTTATCCAACCAAACCAACAGATGTTTTTAATATTCATTTATGGCATTGACTTTTTACGATGGTTTACAATTTGAGGCAGTTTAGTGAGAGAAGTTCACAACAGATCATCGTTGCAATTTTGGCTAGAAAAGAAAACATCCTTTAAAAAACTAATAAATAAATAAATAACAATATACACAGTTAGTGACATGTGTCAAATCGAATAAAAACCTTTCAAAATTATCCCAAAAAAAAAAACGGTGCCAGATCTCAAAACTCCATCACGCCATTAATGCCTTTGAGCCTGGCGAGCGTGTGTTCGTATGAGGCAGGGTCTGCTGGTAAGGTCACCCGCTCCTTTTATCCGCGGAGCCGTTTTAAGCATTAAAGTAATATTTTGTGTTGGAGAAGCTGAAAAGGTTCACTCTTAAATGCAATTTCGTGAGTTCCCCTGCTGTCGCCATGTTGTGGGAGATTTTTGGCTTCAACGTATGAGATCTGTTTTAATGTTGTGTCAGCTCTGTGGATTGAACAGACAACCTCGCGTACAGTGTCGTTTCATTGATTGTTGTTGTTAATTTGAAGGCGTGTGCTATGTCCCAGGCATGTCGTCGGACTGGTACCCCAACCTGGACTGGCTGAAGGAGAGCTGCCGCATCGCTACCAGCTACAACTGGGCCGACGTCGACCTCTCCCCGTTTCAAGGTAAAAAAAAAAACACACAAAGCTGAGGGTCCCGTCAGTGTAAACATCCGAAATGAACATTGATAAAGCCGTCCACAGCAACACGGAGAGAATTGATAAAATGCTTATGATGCCGATCAGTTACTTTGATTAAACCATTATGATTCCTCGCTGCACTTTCATATCCACTCGCCCTTGAGGCACAATATTATAATATCCAGTGTTGTAATAGTACTGGCCTAATAAAAGTCATTATCCTGCATGGAGAGGTTGCCAGTCTGTCTCACACACACACACACACACACACACACACACACACACACACACTGAGGCTGTCTCGCTCCCTCCCAATTGTATGATGTGAATAATCCAATTAGGTCCTGGCTCAGTAACAGCCTCTTATCACGGTCAGCGCACAAAGCCGGCAACATCCACACACGATTGATGACGACTGCTGGCCTTATAACACACAGGCTGCTGCTGCCGCTTCCCCTCTCTGTCTCTCTCTGTCTCTCTCTCTCTCTCCTCCCGCAACGCTTGACCTCCCTCGCACCGCCGCGATGCCGTCCGTCCGCCGCTGTCTCTGGCTCGCCTCCAAAGAGACGAGAGCCGGGGCCTCTTGTCTCTGTCGCCGTCTCACACACAAGCTGTATAAATTTGATTTGGGGCGAAAGTATCAGACGGCAGTTTGCTGTGCAGAAGCTCGGGTGTGTCTTTGTTTCTGAAGAAGTAGAAGCACGTTAGAGGTGTTTCAGATTCTCAGTGCGCGTCGTGTTACATGTGAGCAGACATGTAGTCAGGACGGCGATGCTCACTGGTTTGGTGCTAACAGTAAAATAGACAATTCTTTTCCTGGATGTGATTTCACTATAATGTATGATAGATTATTATTTTTCATATGCTGAACTCATGATAACAAAGAAAGTCTTGGCGATTGTCTTGAACGAGTCATTTAAAGTATGTTTTATAAGTCTAATGTACAGGAAATGTCAATACTACAGCTGTATACGCAAGACAAATGAATCAACTGTGCCTCATTCATGAAGAAAAATCCTCAAGCATGTTTGCTGTTGAAGGAAAACAAACACAGTTCATACAACAGTTTATATACACTTGAAAAGACCACGTAAATCGAGGCGGTCTTGAGTTTTCATTATTTTATTCTATTATGATGCAGGCATTTTATTAGAAGACATAACTAATCTATGCATGACTGTTTTTTCTGACAAAGATGCTTGTTTAAATGATCCTCTCATTGAAAACTCATATATACATGGTCTTTTCAAGTGTATGTAAGCTTCAGTTCACAACTATTTATAGATCTAAATATATTTATTACACACATGTTTAGTTTTCTACTTATAAGTGATCCCGTTTGCCTGATATTTCACCTGATTTAAGTTTTAGCGCTTTTAATCTTCTCAACATTAATATTCAGACTTAGAATAAACACTGTTTAATCTCAGAGACCATTAATTTATATTATAGTAGCTAAGATACTGACAAACTGTATTTCAGATGTAGTGCAGGCACAGACGATGACGCGGGCAATTTACTGTATTATTTCACATTTTATAAAGTAGATATCAAAGATGAACTGGTAGAAGTTTGATGAAGTTGTACATTTAGGTGTTGTAAATAATTCTATTTTGTATATCAGTTTTGAGCTACTTAAAGCTGGGGTAGGCAGTATTTTCTTGCCATCACTGGGCAGGAATTACATAGCAAGTTACGATTCAAGTCATCTGAGAGGAACTTTTCTTGCCTCTGCTTTCATTCTGTTTTTAGAAAATCTAGCCCATGATGATAGAGTCACACTCCTCACAGTCATCACTGGTACTATCAGTGTCACAGTGGGTTAAACAGAGGAGTTTCGCACAGGAAAGTGGGGTTAGAATCCTTAGTGAAGCAACAAATAACAGCTTTTGGGTGTTTGGAGCACATACGTAAGTCCAGGCTCATCTGATCAGAGGGCAGAGCTGCAGGAGGAAGGCTCCACATATCTTGTATAACACAATGACAAATTTGTTTAGGTGATTAATTTCTAATTAGCTCTACAGTGAGTGACCGTCACAGTCCGTCTTTCCGTCAGGTTTAAAGGAGAGCATGCGGCAGGCTGAGCTCAACAACTGGACTCTGGACGCCGCCCAGATGGCCGACCTGTGTTCCTCCATTAACCAGTTCTTCACGGCCACGGGGGTCATCCCCCCTCAGGGCGCCGCCCACCCACAACCTCAGGTCCAACACCCGACACCACCGGGAGCGCCACAGCACCCGTCTCAGCCGCACGGGGCCATGCACCCAAAACCCAGCCATCACAATCAGCACGGGCAACACAACCAACACAACCAACATATCAGCACGGGTCAGTACACAAGACTACACTGCATAGTGTAGTACTCTGGATGTAAAGTTAAAGCACACAATATGCAGGGATGTTGATGCTTTTAGAACAGTTACTGAAAGTAGGATGGAAGGAAGGACAAAAGAAGAAGGAAGTGAAGCAGAGATTAGAAGGAAAGCAGAAAAATCCATGTTTACAGGTCGAGATACATTTTCTGAATATGTGTCTGAAACTCATAGATTCTTAAATTTGAACATTTTTGCGATACAAGAATTTCTACAAACACATAATGACTCATGTACAATTTTATGGTAAATGGTCTTCACTTATATCGCGCTGTTCTATCTTAGTAGTACTCAGAGCGCTTTACAATGTGTTTCTCATTCACCCATTCACTCACACATTCATACACCAATGGAGACAGAGCTGCCATTGGGACCAACTTCAGGTTCGGTGTCTTGCCCAAGGACACTTGGACTGTGGAGGGGCGGGGGATCGAACCGCCAACCTCGCGATTAGAGGACAACCGCTCTAAGCCATTACTGCCATTTATGTTTGTAATGTCATGTATAAGTTTTTTACTTGTAGGGGATCAATAAAGTTTACCTTATCTGTGAGGTAAACATAATGGACTAAGGAGTGCAGCATTAGAAAAGAAAACGTGTCTCCAAAAAATAAAGTACTTCCTCAATTTCCGCCCGTGACTCGCTGGCTGCGAAGGAGGTTGGGTCTCAAGGCTCCAAGCTAAATTGCAATCCCTGCTCACTGTGCCATTGTTGGCTCATTATGTATTTTCAAGGGAATTACGGCTGTTGTCAGTTACATGGCAACTAAAGTGAAGATATGAAGACGAGGGGATGTTTTCACCAGTGTGAAATCCACTGAGTGACAGCAGATTCTGTAGGATTTCTCCCGGCTTAGCATAAGATGGCAGCAAAAATTTTTGCGTGTGCACACGATAACAGCTTGTGTTCTGCAGAGGCAAGTACGCGTGTGTGAAAGTCGGGATACTAATCTGACAGTTAGTCATTGCCCTTTTGTCTGTTCTCCCGCAGGGAACATGTACATGGACTCGAGACAGAACATTTCTTCTCTGATGGGCCCTCCAGGATATCCTCACATGCCTCCCATGAGCAGCACGACTCCCGCCATGACAGGTGACTCCTCCATCGCTCTCTTAACAGGTCAGGAGGTTGGAAATGCAGCGTATATTAAGGCCCGACTATTACATAATCGCCTGAGTGCAATTATTAGAGCTGACTGTGATCATAATTGTTGGAATCATTTCCATCCACCTGGATGAAACTAACAGAAATGTCACGTCTCAATTACTGTTGTTTTCCACTGTTTGCTCCCCCTTTCTTCTGCTGCGGTTTAATGGCACCGGCTGTTTATCTAGAGGCACTTAAACTCTAATGTTTGACCGATGAGCATCTATTGACATTTACATCATGGGTTTTAGTTGCAAAGCTAAACGCCGCAGCACCACTGTGGGCGCATTCTGGTTTTAAGCCAAATGAAAAAGGACAGCCCAATAAGTTGAGGTGATTTGTTGGATTTGAAGCAATGAGGTGGCACTTAAAGGCCCTAATACCACTAATCTAAAAGAAATAGAGTTATACAATGAACAGGAAAAAAGGCAATGTAATTGTTAATCTCAATTATTTGTACTGTAATTAAGAGTCAACTAAAATCATGTTCTTAACAGCCTTAGGTTTATATCTGTATATGCAGGCTTACAGGCAAAACAGCGCCAGACTTTAACCTTGGTAACACATTTCATTCTACGGTATTGGCATTTTTATCTTTGCATTGAAAGCAAATTATAAATGTAGAGGTGTGTGTGTGTGTCAAAGACTGACTTGGAGAAGTACCGGGAGCTGGTGGAGGGCTAAGTGCATACCGGTGGAGGTGGGGCGTCAAGGCTCTGTGGAACCCTGAATGTACTTGGAGCGAGCAAAAGCAGAGCTATCAGCAACAATGTGGAGGCGGCAGAGAGAGTTTCTAGATAGCTGCGCCTGAAGAGGGGTGATCACTGTGGTCAGTAGATGCCACTTGGACTCATTTCGAGATTTGATCGGTCTCGGTCGGGTCGCCTGGACGAAGGTGTCTGTTGTAAGATCTGAAGCACCTCATGACTCCATGAAAATACACAGATGAGGTTTCCTAGTGTGTGCATCAGAAGATTTATGTAAAACTCAAGGTAAACAGATTAAACTTGCAGTTACAGGGGCTAACGTAGTATTCGACTTTTCTAAAGCTAAAGCTAAAAAACAAACTACTAGCTGTAGAGTTATTCCATCTCGAATCCTCAGGGGCCTTCTGCTCTACCAACTCTGATTTGTTTTTCTGTCAGAAACTGTGGAAATTTACCGTAATTTCCGGATGATTGAGCACATCTGAATAGCCACACCCACTAACTTCAAAAAGGAAACACATTTTGTACATATAAGGGCCGCACTTGTCTATAAGCTGCAGGAGTCCATGTTGTAACATGAGATATTTACCCAGAAAGATTTTTTTAAACTTTTAATTAAATACATACCGGTAACATACACAAATATATAAATGTTTTTTTCAGAACAGTGCCTGTAACACGGCTGGTTAAGAAAATAAAAACTACAGCAGCCTTCCAGGAAAAGTCATTGATCACTGTCTTCATCTTCCTCCTGCACTAAAACCACTAAAGTCGTCTTCTTCAGTGTCAGAATTGAACAGCTTCAGAATTACTTTGTCACAAACTTCCTCAGTCTCTCTTTCATTGTCGCTCTCAATGTCACTTTTGTCTCGAGGCAAATTCGCAAAAATCATAAAAATCCATAAATTAGTCGCATCATTGTTTAAACCGCAGAGTTCAAAGGGTGTAAAAAAAAAAGAAAAAAAGTAGCAGCTTATAGTCTGGAATTTACGGTGATTTCTGTGAAATTTTAAGAAATTTCCTTTTCTTTTAAATACTTTTTTTTTTTTTTTTAAATTTAACTGCTGTCAACCCACTTCAGGCTATGTTTGAATGACAATGTCTCCGGAACTAATTTTCACTGTTATGTACATAGCACATTAATACAAAACAAGTAGTATACTGTTTTAAAGATGAAATATTTGGTCACAAGAAAGGAAAAAAAAGTTAGTTTTGTTTAACTTTTAACTGAACAGATAAAACAAGTTGCTCCACCAAAACAAAGTATTGCTAGATAGCCTAATCCAAATGGAGTTTTGCAGTTTCAAAGTAGTTTTCGTTTTTTTAATAAGTATTCTGTTGCAGTATTGCATTCCTCTATCATGGAACTACACACGGTTTAGAAAATATCACGAGCTGACTTTTGCATGATCATTTTTTTGCTAATGTGTGCTCCAAAATGAGGCTTTTCATGATTTTTTTGAAATCATTTTTCAACTTACCTACAAACAGAGACTATTTGATCTACTCATTTAATATTGCAGATTCTGAATCAATGGTGCAATGGAAAATATAATTTCAGGCTTTTATCTTTAACAGTTCCTGAAATATCATCATTGAAATGTGGCTTTAAATTTAAATGAAAGTTTTCACAAATATCCTTATGTTAGGTGATACAGATTTTACGCAAATGTGAGATGGTTGAACAAAAATAGTTCTACAAAATTTGATCATTGAGATGGAATGACTTCCCTCATAACAGGAAAAGCATTTTTGATGTTAAATTTAGTTTAGAATACTAATGAATTAAACTAATTGGGGTTTCTGTCTCCAGCTGAAATGTGTATTTTTTCAAATGGTCCTGGTGTAGCATCTGAAGATACTTAAACTATCCATCTATCCATCCATTATCTACACATCGCTTAATCCTCACGAGGGTCATGGGGGGAGTGGCGCTAATCCCAGCTGACTCAGGGTGAAAGCAGGGGACACCCTGGACAGGTCACCAGTCTATCACAGGGCTACACTTAGAGACAGACAACCAAGCACACTCACATTCACACCTACGGACAATTTAGAATCACCAATTAACCTCAACATGTTTTTGGACTTGTGGGAGGAAGCCGGAGAACCCGGAGAGAACCCACGCTGCACGGGGAGAACATGTAAACTCCACGTAGAAAGATTCCAGGTGTCCTCACCGGGACACGAACTGGCGACCTTCTTGCTGCGAGGCTTCGGTGCTACCCACCGCTCCACCTTGCAGCCCTACTTACAATACACATGATTCAACACAAGACACAATGCTTCCAAGTAAAGCATCCAAAGTGATGAAGTTGAAGGAACACATTTTATGGCGTTTGACTTCTTGCATTGTTATGTTGATGTCAGTTAGTTCAAAAGTAATTATATAACAGTGTGTCACTGAGGACGCATGAGTCACTTCATTAGAATTGGGATGAGAATTGAAGACACTGTGTATTGTTTGACAGTGACACCAAGATTTCTGCTGACTTTTCAGATTTTTTTCACTAACTACTAACACCTTTGACTCAACTAAAGAGCCAGACAATCTTTCATTCCAACTGTTCTTCATCCTGCCCACATATTAAAGCCATATTTGTTACGGTGTGTAACAGGACCTCTCGTTATTAATCCTCACTGTCTTCTTTCTTGTCCAGGTCATCACAGCCAGCTGAGCCAGCAGCAGCAACAACACTCGCTGCCTCCGGGACACTTTCAGGTGAGACGCATGCTCGCTGCCGACGACATCCAGGATGATTTCGACTGGGACTCCATCGTCTAAGCAAACGGAGCGATGAAAAGGAGGGACCGCAAATAAAAAAAGGGGGCGACACAGAGGTGGAGGTGTGATGTTAGTGAGGTATGGAACTGACCAACCTTTCACCTGTGCGAAGAAACAGACGACAATCCAACAAAAACACAAACGGAAAGTAATTTTTCTAATCGTGCTGGCCTTTTTTTTTTTCTTCTTCTTCTTCTTCCTGATACAAGCAGTTGATGAGTCTAAAGACAATCATTTAAAAAAACAAACAGATGGGATGGACTGTGTTGGACGAAGATATATCGTCCAAACGGCCAACAAAAAAAAAAAAAAAAAGGACGTCTGAAGCTCTCCGAATTGTCTCACGTCGTGTCCCCCAGTGCCAACAGGGTTACAAGTCGCCAAAGTGTTGTCAAATCGTCTGTGAATTGTTTTTCTTTTCTTCTTTTTTTTTTTTTTCTTAATTCTGTTCCCTGCTACAACTCGTGTCCCATGTCTGCAAAAGTTTCACGACTGAAATGAACAGAAAACTTCTCCAAACTCTCTGCAGAAAATCACACTTTCTTTCACTGAGCATGTCCAAATATTTCATCCTCTCTTCCTTCTTCTTCTTTTATTTTCTTTTTCTCTCCACTCTGTTACTGGGCATCTGTGTGGCTGTGGGTCTTAACAGTTAGAAAGAAGGAAGTAATGGTGCATCAGCCTGAATCGGGGATGGATGCAGCACCACCTGCTGGTTAAAACAGGCACTGGTTTTGCTTTGTTTGCTTAAAAAAAAAAAAAAAAAAAAGATCTATGCACCACAATGTTCCTGATCTTTGTTCAGTCAGCGGATTCCAAACTCTTTTCAGTCTGTTTTGTCATTAACATGCCATGTGTGTGTGTGTGTGCAGCGGTCCATGGTGCCATGTTCTCAGGGTGTAATATTCACATACATCTTCACATTTACATCTCTATATGTGAGGTTAACTGTGTGTCGTACGGTGCTGTCGGTGTTCAGTTCCTGTTGGCTAACAGCAAGCATCCCCGTGACTGTGGTCGAAAGATTTTTTTTAGAAAAGAAAATCTTCATTCTGTCAGCTGTATAAGCTAAATAATACAAAAATACTGTGGAATAAGCTTTTCAGTAGCTCAAATAACAGCCACTAATTTAAGTGTTAACGAGACGCTGGCTAGACTTCGTCAACATTAATACATCTGAGATATAATTTTTCTCTAGTTTTTGGGGGAAGTGCATATCATTTAGGCAGAGAGACAGAGAGAGAGAGAGGGCCGGTCGTGATTTCAAGATGCCTCATTTAGGAGAAGACGAGCAGTTTTTTGCACAACACCGAGCTTGATAGCATCTAGTGAATGGCAGAAGTAAAAGAAAATTTTTTCTTTGTTTGTTTCCAAAAGACATTTAAAAAAAAACAAAAAAAAACAGATCAGCAAGGGAGCAAAGACTAAACGCTTTGTTTTGTTTTTTTTCACTGTGATGTTAATTTTGTCTGTGTGTACAAGTGTGTATAGTCCTCTCTGATTTCCTTTAGCATACAGCTTCATACAGCTCAAAAAAATGCATAAGAAACAAAAATGAATTTCTTTGTATTAACGCTTTAAGGTCTCCGCATTTCCGCACAGCGAAATACGGGACGTTAAGGCGCTTTATGGTTTGGAAGATCTCAGTGATTGTTCAGGTGGTCTAAACAAGGTCTTATTGTAGGAAAAAAAAAAAGAAAAAAAGAAAAATACTCTTTATTATTACCATTTAATGCTGTATTACAGTGACCAGCATATATATCTTCTATGTTTGTGTGTTGTTGTCCTTGTAAATAACGGTATGTTACTCCTCTGTTTGCCCTTGAAAAACACGGACTGATATAAAAAAAAAAAAAAAAAGGAAACAACAGCAAATGGAGACTGTATTTTTTTTTTTTTTTGTTATTTGTCCTTCAGGAGAAACGCATTATGTACATACCTTCAGTTTATTGTAAATAAGTGATTTAAAAAAAACAAAAAACAACAACAACAACTGGCATTGGCATTTTGTGTGTCATAAATAATCTGTGTATGGCGGTTCAACAGTTAAAAATCTGTTTCAGTGTTTATTAAAATGTCATGGACCATTTTTACTGCGCTAACCTTGCATCTGCTGCCGTTACTTCATCAGCTGTCTGCATGTTTGAATTAACAGTCAGTTTATATGATGCTGGACGGGCTGCCAAACAATCCTAACATGCAGCTCCTGTTTTTGGAGCACGTAAAATCTCATTTTCAGTTGAAGCTAAACAACTAAGAAGATGTTCTGTTTTTAGCGGTTCAAGTAACTTTATCCACTCTGGCTGTGTGCTGTTTTTGCCCCCTCGCAGCTTGTTGTCCAACAGGTGTCAGCCTAGTGCCAAGCAACAGTTTGTTTGTCCTCTATCGCATGTAAAATCGGCAGACCACCCATGCTCGCCTGTGTGAAAGTCACACAATGTTCTAACTGTATTTACGGCCCCTTTTCATTGGCAAACTGTTTAAAAAGCAGCTTTCTCCTGCCACCGCGCATAAGCCGCGGACGTGCGCTGCCAAGAACAAGAGTGACGTTTTAGCGGATTAATGCGAAACGCACTGCAGACGCGTGTTTGATTCGCTGTTTGCTTTTATTAACAGTTTCGTAAGCAACATCCAGCCGAGCTCTGTTCTATTACAGACACCTACTTGGCTCTGGGATCTGTGATTAAGGATTATTTGAGAAAGCTCTGTTTACATCTCTCTCCATTCATTCAGAGAGCGCTTTAAAAGCCTGTTGCTTTCTAATTGCCTGAGCCACCCAGTTGTAGTTTGAAGTGCCTGTCTTGTCTTGATAAATAAGCCCAACCGTCTATTTCCAAGTGTGTGTTTGTGTGTGTGTGCGTGCGCTTGCTGATATTGCAGGGTTTGCAAACAGGAGGGCTGGGCACCGAGAGGAGAGCCGTCCACAGGGCCGGACCCGTTTAACTGCCCCTATCCAGACGCCCTCCTCCCCAAACCCAACCTGCCCCTTTGCTCCTCAGCCCGCCCAGCCCACTACCACCAGTACCAGCACCCCTCCTCCACGCCGATCACTCACACGCACCCTCTTTTCTCTCTCCTGCTGTGTGCCATTCCCCCTCTCTCTCTCTCTCACTCTCTCTCTCCCTCTCTCTCTCTCTCCTTGCACTTCCTCAAAGTGGCCAGGGCTCTTCTCTTTTCTCTTGTCCTCTCCACATCCCTCCAACACTCCTTTTTCTCCCTCCAGGGCGACCAATACACCAGCTCCCGTCCATCTCCACAAGTTAAAAAAAAAAACCAAGAAGGATCTCTTTCCCAAACTTCCCTCCAAACATTTTCATTCTTACTTGACCTTTTTTTTTTTTTTTTTTGTTCCCCTGGTCCCTCACTCGTTCTTCTCCCTCCGGAGAGGCCGGTGTCGGTGAGTGTGTCTGGCGTGTGCGAGGGTCTCCGGTGTCGTGCTCTTTGCCCCCCTGAGGGACTCCCCTAAACAGCTTTTTTGACTGGAGAGAAGATCGCAGAAGAAGTTTTCCTTCACAATGAAAGTTCAGCTGCTGCTCCTCCTGGCCCTGGCCGGCCCTTTCTGTGCCTTCACTCGTGCAAGTAAGTGAACTCTCTGCTATCAAACCGTCCTGCTGTTAGCACACTGTGTCCCCTCTCTCTGCCTCCATGTGCCCACACCACACCACTCTTTGTCTGCTTTAATCCTGTTGTTTGAATGATAACACTCCAGAGGCTCTATTCAAATGAGAGAGAGAGAAAGAAAAAAAACTCTTCAGCTGTAATTTTTTATACCAATAAATACAGTTAAATACATTTTTTATGTTTAAATATTTACACACTTTTAATAATTTTATTACAATATCGTCACTCAGAGCCGTCGGCTGTAAGTTTGACCTCACTTTAGCTGACACTCACTGATGCTTTTTGGAGTGTTTATTTACAACAAACAAATGGATGCCGTTTATTCGTTTTAACGAATAACCTCATCCTGCCTTATTTCTTTCCCCGGTTTTCCACGCTGTCCTGTCCCCGCTTCTGAGCGCCAGACAGCAGGAAAAGTTTGATTTGCAGACATGAGGGAAAAATATGATGTAATAGCAGGAGCTCTGCTGCCTCGTGTCTGTAAATTCTTGGCACTGCCAAAGAGAAGAAAGGAATATCCTTTGGAAGCCTCCCAAAACAGTGCTCATACGCCGGGGAGGCGGGTGAGGCTGGGAGGGAGAGGGGAGGGGTGACTGTAAACTGTAACGGACACCGTACACATTTATCTGAAAGCCTATCCACTGCTTCCTCTTGTTTCACCTCCTGATTTTTCTCTCGCTTGCTGCAGCTACTTTTCCTCCTTTATCCCTGATTTTTTTTTTTACATCTCTGCTCCCGTCTTTCTCCCAGTTTGCAGGTTTTTTACTATTCTTTCTTTCTTACTCTCTGCTTCCTTCCTTCCTTCCTTCCTTTTGCATTGACCAGCGCAGGGAGAAGCCGGGGAGGGGGGTGTGGCTGAGGGCCTGAGGGAACTGTAGGGCAGGGCTGCTTCGCGTGAGTGTATTAATAGAGAAAGGCTCTATATTTAAGAGGGTCATATGGATGAGAGAGCAGCAAGAGAGGGACGTGATGAGCTTTAAGAGGTGCCCCACCCTCTTTTGCCCGTATGTTGTCAGTCCATGCGGCGCGCCACCCCTTTGGCATTTACCCATCTTTGGTGGGGTATCAAGCTTTACCACTTAAAACTCCTCTCCCGCCTCCTCCCCTCCTCTCCGCTCTCTTAACAGCCCTCCGCCTTTTTCACCCTCGACTCTCTGCCCCCTTTCCCCTGTTCCAGCTTGATGAGTCTAACCCTAGGAGACGGAGCTGGTGTAGGCACCAGGGGGGCGAACAGCAGAGGGGTCTATTTTTAAGCAACAACCTTTACCGGGCGACATGCCTGCCCCATTTCCATGGAGGTTTGCTGTGAAAACTTTCAGAAAGATTCTCAACTCGAAACACGTTCCTCATCCCTCTTAAATGGGGTCTTTTAGCTCCATCGTGCCTCTGCTCACTTAACTAGGAAACCCCATGAATCCTGTAAAAAAAAAAAAAACTCCACCTCCTCCTCCTCCTCCTCCCCTTGGTCGCCCTCTTAATGAGTTTTGTCTGCCTTGCCGGGCCAATAACATCCCCGTCACATCTGGCCGCTGAAGGGAGAGGTCAATGCCCTTTGTCCGTGGCCGCTCTTAGAAATGACTCAAATGTTGCGCTCATGCTCCAAATATGAGACACATGCCAGTAAAGAGGGACCAGGAGGAAGGAGGAAGGAGCACTTCGCACGAGTCTCGTTTTAAGGGGGGGAAGAAAGAAAAAAAAAGCGCTCAGTCATACTTTAAAAATTTCCGCAATGAAAAAGAAACATCTGTTTATGGAAAGGAGGCTGAGAGGCTGCTTCGGCCTCGCCACACCCTGACAACCTGAGGCTTCTATCAGATCATGACTACATCAGCAGCAGTGGCTGTCTCAAACCTCCCTATGGAGACTTTTTTGTGCCTCCTCTGTGAGTCCAGACACAAATGTCTCATATCAGTAGCACCTACGTGTGCTGCGAGGTGAGACATGGTGCAAGAGAAAATAAGAAGAAGAAAAAAAAAGTGCTGCTGCTGCTGACAAAGGAACGCTTATACAACTGGGTGGGTGTTTTATGATGTGGGAGTTGGATTTGAAGGTTAGCGAGATTAGGAGTGCATTAAGACGCCTGCTTGATAAACTTGTGGAGGTCGGGGGGGTGGTGTTTAGGTTTGTCTGAAAAATGGAGAGAGCTGGAGTGATGACACAGGAAAACGTGTTTATTTTGACATTTCTATGGTGTTCAGATTCTCTACAGAAATGTACTCAGAGTCCAGACGGGACCTGCTGCTTGTTCTTTTACCCAAGTTAGAGCAGGAAGAGGGAAAACATCAGTTCCTATGCATCGGTGACGACACCGGCTGAGAATTTTCCACTCTGGCTTGTCTCCTGTTTAAAATCCCCAGCGTGCACTGCATGGCACAGCACCCGTCATCTTTAGAGATGACTCTTACTGGTTTTAGCGGGGGAGGGTAACAGCATCTCGTGGTGGGCGCCTGTATCTCCCCACGTTTCCCTCCTTCAGCGCCACAAAAACATTCCTGGGCTCCAAAGGTGGACGCTCCTCCTCACGTCGTCTCTCCCACGCAGTGTGTTAGTAGCTCTCACACACAAACACAAGCCGGAGGCCTCAGCTGATTGGGATCGTAATGGATGGAAGCTGCTACTCCCTCCTGTCCCGTCTCACGCTGCGTTTTGTTGCATCCCTTCTTCGCTCTTTCAGCCTGTCTGTAGAGTTTTCTTTATGTCAGGCCCCACATGGGTCCCTCCACTGGCCTCACTTTGCACACTTTTCTCTCTACCCTTTGCCTGCCTGGCTGCCTGTTTAACTCCTTATCTTCTTCTGGGGTCACAAATGGTTCCAATGTGTTCATATTACTATTAATATTACTTTTATAAACATATATTATTTACTTTTCCTACGGTCAGCAGGGGTATGCAATTACACCACACAATAAAACCACACAACTGACAAACAAAAAGTCATGACAAAATAAAATAAAACATATTAAAATAATCAAATCATCATTGGTCATAGACAAAAAAAAGTATGACTATGAAATAAAATTGATTTAAAAAATCATTATCAGTCATAAACCAAAAATATGACAATAAAATTATTTTTAAAAATGAGAAAAGTCATTTAAAATAATCAAATCAGTGGTAAACAAAAACAATTTGACAGTAAAACAGATGAAAATAATCGAATCATCTTCCGTCATAGACAAAAAATATGATGATAAAATGAAATAAAATAAAATAGATTAAAAAATAAAATCATAATCAGTCATAGACAATAAAATAAAATACAAAGCAATAGATTAAAATAAAGAAAATCAAATAGAACTTTTTTTTTTAATCTTAAGTTTTACTCACTTTTTTGTAGTTTGAGTGAAGCAGCCCTTTAAAGCCTCATAGATTAACACACACACTCACACGGTGGCACTCGCTAACCCTCGTTAAGTGACAGGATGGTGTTTCAGGCATGCTCGACATGGAAATGAATATGTGGAAGCGCCCCACTGAAAGTCAGGAATAACAAGGACAACGACAGAGTTATGTGTGTCCTGTTAGTGTCTGGTCGTCATTAGATACATGAGAAGCGTGAGGTGTGCGGAAACTCTCCTTTAACTAGACTAAAAGCCTTGTGTTGGGAGAAACCCTCGCCAGCATCTGTGTTCCTGCTCTGGTCTCGGAGCCCCCCTGAGGATTAACGCAGAGCCACTGACTTATTAACCGCTGTCACACATCCTGCCGTAAGCGCAGACAGCAAACCAAGAGACGGACCAGGTGTAGCCAAGCAGCCGAAGGGACACCGGGGTTCTAAAACATTCCCTCAGAGCCTCCACCCCTCCACCCTTTTGCTTTCCCGTCTGCCCTCCCTGCCCTCCAGGGACCTTCTCAGCAGCAACAGACCTCTCCTCAGGGAGTGTCAGGGGCATGGAGAGGGAGATAGGAGTAAGATTAGAAGGAGAGGAGAGGGGATGTAGGCTGCAACGGTCTTACTCACTCATGCAGCTGGTTTGCACACTCCAGAGGAAATACTACTCAGAGCTAATTGTGGGAACTGTACACATAATGAAACAATTGTTAGTGGAGGTTGAGGGGGCGATTACACATACTGCGCCGCCATACACTGTGAAGCGCGGGCCGTTTTATCATTCCAAACAAACAGTCCGAGTCGCCGCTTGAAAACCCCCCTTCAGTGGTCCTGCCATAGTGGGAACAAATGTTTTGTTATATTTACCCCGCCTGTTGCTAATGAACGCACCAGGACTGCACCGCTTGTCGGACCAGCCATTCAGAGTTATTTTTACCCGTGCAAAGTATTCGCTATTATTTCAAGTATTCAGAAAGAACTGGACAAAGCGGGCACGGAGAGAGAGCATGATGTCAGACGTCTAAGTTTAGAAGAAACGCACAGAGGCTCACTCCTGCTCTTTGCAGTGAGAAAGTTTCGAGGGATGAGTAGGTTTAAATGTTGTTTTTTTTTACTTTTCCAAAGTAAAGAAGCAAATTTCAGGCCAACATCTTGTCAGTGGAAAGTTAACTGCAGACTGTAATTTTGGTGCCTCGCTGAAATCTGCCTCCTTAATTTTGAAGCAGTGCTGTCCAGGCTGAGCTTTCAGTTGTGGCTGGAGGGATGTTGAACATGGGGAGATGGAGCGAGGCTTATTGGAGGGAAATGATGAGGTTGAACCCGGGCCGGTTCACGGTCCAGGCCTTGATGAAAGACAGAAGGATAAATACATGTCTTTTTACACTCTTGGGACAAAATGGGAGCTTTTATTTCACTGCGAGCACAGATGGACTTCAGAGCTCAGACGTTGGATGTTTTAAAAAGCTCCAAATGAGTCGGCATTCACTAATATGTGACACAAAATATACCAGCGTCTTTTAAAACAAACATATCAGACTTTTCATCAAACCTCCCTGAGCGGATTTTTCTGCTGAGAAGGTCTTTAAAAGCAAAATCTTCCAGTTGTGTTCTTTCTCACACGTTACTCAGGCGTTGTCCCTGCAACCCCACCCTCCGCTGATTGCACACATTAAGCGAGCTGAGGGTTAACAAGGCTTTCCCGCGCTCTCTCCTCACGCTTGCAGCGGCGGCTCCCTCCACAGGAAATGAGGCAGAGGATGTGGCATGAATGTACGCAAACACACGCTCAGCCCTGAAGGATGGAAGGGCTGGAGGATGGGGAGGGGAGGGAGGATGCACATTTTGTGAGGTCACTGGGTGGGGCTGTACGCGATGTCTCGGTGACCACGTGTCGACGTTTGGGAGAACCATTGCGAAAGAGTGTGAGAAAGAGGAAAAGGTCATGCCGTGACATCATGATGTCAGGGAAGAATGCCAGCATTTGGTTTGTTCATTTTTGACCCTTTTTTGCACCCAGACTGACAGACGAGGGGAAGTGTGAGTTTGTTCTGTTACTGCACTAAATATGGCCACTCAAGAGCCAGAGCGATGTACAAGTGTATGATTTATTGTCCCTTTGCATCGATATACAGTTCACAAAGTAGGATATAATAATAAGGTTCACAGTTAGCATATGTAAATTAGTTATGGCAACATAAATGCATGATTTCAGTTCTATTTTGACTACCTGTGGATCGATAGGCTTTTTAATGGCGTGTAAGTCAGAAATACCAAACTCATGATGACAAAAAAAAAGTGTAAAATATGTGAGTTTTTTTTTTTTTTTTTTCTCTTTGGATCACTGGATTCTCTGTTTAACATTTGCAAGAGCCTTACCTCACTATGCAAAGTGGACACATGGTGTGAACTGGTGCTATAGAAATGAATAGAACTGATTTGGCACGTCTGAAATCAATCAATACGTCAAAAAAACAAAAAACAAATCAAAACATTTACTATTGAAAATATGGACTCATAGCAAGATAAAGCAATATTTCATCCAAATACACACACACACACAAAACACAGTTCAATAAGTTGTTAATCCTGAAACCTTACCTTTCAGTTTTACTTTCTTGGAAACCATCCCACTGTTTTTTCTGAACCATCCGATCTCAGCAGCACCATAAACAGTGTTACACAGCATATAGACATCAACACCCGTAAATATATAATTAAAACACAGTTCTGCATTTTCCATAACAGGTTGCATTTATACCTACATTTGACCTCATGACAATATTAGCCTTATTTATACAGCACCTTTCTAAAACAAGTTAGAAAATGCTTCACAGGGACAGAAACATCAGAGACAAACCCAACAGTTTGTTTTTGAGCGAGCTTCTGGTGACAGTGGAGAGGAAGAACTCTCAGACAGACGGCAGCCGTCGGTCTCGACCGGTTCAAGTGAGTCAAGACCAGAGATAGAAAAGCTCAGCATTCAACCTAACTGTGACCTTTCCACTGACTTGTCTCCCCAGGCCCCACAGAGATCCCTACAGAGGTGGCCACAGACGCCCACGAAGAGGACGCTGTGACAGAAGGAGCGGTCTTCACTACCGATGTTGCAAAACAAGACCTCATCACTCTCCTCACCGGGCCCCCACCGACCCAACCGGAGACGGCCCCTAGCGAGGTCGAGACAGAAGCTGCCACTGAGGCAGCACCTCTCTCTACCGAAGAGGCCATCGTTGAGACAGAAGGCCCCGTTGCCTCTACTGCAGCAGCACCAGAACCCCTCGCCACCGACGCTCCTGTTGTGACCGAGGCGGCAGAGGTCGACGTCCCAGCCGAGCCGACGGCGGCTGTTCAGGCGGAAGACGAAGTCATCGTTGAGGGGGGCATAGAAGGTGAGAAAGCTGGCAGAGATGATACATTTGAAGTCAGATGTTACTAGTGGGTGATGTGTTGCTGACGTTTGCAGCTTTTAAATGAAAATGCGTCTCATGAGCGGCCCTATAAATGGTTTAGAAGTCACATCCCTGCCTTGCATCCCTCCAGATATGACTACCCTCCATCATTTTCTCTTTCTCAGACCTTCTTTTCATACATAGATAGATGGCATTTGAGTCATCCACCTTCTTTCTTGATGGTATTTAAGCATATTTAAGTCTAACAAATGGACTAACTCTCGTCTCACAGATGGCCTGAGCTCTGGTCAGGTAGTCGGCATCGTGATCGGCGCTCTGCTGGCGGTGATCATCGTCATCGCTGTGGTGATCGCAGTGGTGAGGAGGATGGGCAAATACTCGTAAGTACCTCATCTTTTCATTTGCATTAAACCGGCCTGGCCAATTATCGTGGCCGATATTTGGCAGTTTTTCCAGTTATCGTTATGTTTATCGAGTTGACAAAACGCGCTACTTCAGGTCCCATGCAGCCTCCTCGCTCCGTCTGTCAGCACTCTGTGGTCTCGCAAATGTCTCTCAAGCAGAGACTGCAAAAACTGAACAGGAAAGACAAGCCGTTCCCACAAATCAGGAAATGAGCGACTAAGGCTACGCTAAGGGCTAGCGGATAAGTTAGAAGGCAGCCACAGATTAACCTGAAACAGAATCTGGAGAACAATAAATGCTTTGAGATATGAACCTCAGTTCTAGTCACTCTTATTAATGAAGGAGCCTAGATGTGAATACAGCTTCCCTGCCATCACATGCTGCTGAAACATTACACTTAATGCGTATCGGTTCCAAATATCGATTATCAGCCCTAATCTCGATTGACGGTCACTGGTATCAAACAACCCATATTGGTGGATCCCTAATTTACACGCATAAGCACGCAGAGAGCTTGAATCCACTGCTGTGCGCTGAGTCATAACTTCCTCCAAATATGGAGTCAAAATGCATGTAGTCATCAGTGAAACAGAGAGTGATGATAGGCGATGATGTAAACGGACTTAGGAAGAGTGAGATTACATGACCTCAAACGCTCGACATGAACCGCATAGCATTCCAACCGCAATCGCTAAAAACGTTTGATCTCATGAGATCCCTTCCAAGTGACAGAATTCCCACGGACCGCACCCTCCCTTATGAGAAAACAATGATTCGTACTGATCATGATGAATGCTGATGATGATGAATTTTTGTTTGTGTCACAGGTCTGCCAAGAACAAAAAACCTGCCAAAAAAGACAGCATTATGGTTTCTGTAAATGTCTACTATTCGATTCTTTCAGCTAATCATTTTAACCCCTTCGTCTTTATTTTTATTTTACAGACGTGTAACAGATGTCTTTCCCCCTCCACTCCTAAAAAAAAAAAAAAATTGGTGGTTGCTGCTTTTGCTGACACACAGTCTCGTGTTTCTCGGAGGAAAATCAGGCATTCATGGTGACAAAGTGGCTCATGCTGGCCTTAGAATGAGCTCGTTTATTGACTCAGAGTCTGTCTACATGGCCAGTGGTCATCAGGTCGACTGGTTTTATACTCACAGCTTGATTTGATCCCTAGAAACACGGGGCCTTGTGTTTGTTAGAAGTGCAAATCATATAGTTTTTGTCTGAGGGACTAATAATCAGATTTTCTGTGTATTTAAAACAAGCATTTTTTCACAGTGTATCATTTTGAGAAAAAGGTCCACTCCTAAGCGAGCTAATTCAAAATGCCTCCCTTTTAAGCCTCTTATATATAAACCTCATATTTGTTTCCTTTTTGTAAACTGTGCTCCATCTTTAATCTGTTAATTAAATCTACAAACCAGCTTTTTTTTCCTCACCCCACTTTTTTTTTTCCCGTCGTCAATGTCCATTTACCCTGATAATGAAGAAATTAATAGTAAATAGCACGTAACAAATCCTCCAATTAATTAACTTCAAAATAATACGAACCATTAATATAATAATCCTCACTGACTGTCTCTCTCTTTTCATCCCACAGCCCTTGAGGAAAAAGTCGGCCAAGCAGCAGGAGCGCGCAAAGTTCTGGAAATTCTGAACTACTGAACTGTGATGTTATTTCTGATCATTAAAACAAGCACGATACCAGAACTAAACCAATCTAACCAGGACTCTGGACTGTTGCCAAAAAAAGCAAAACAAAACACACAAAAAAAAGCCAAGAAACGAGGGGGAGGGAGGTTTGTGTGTGTTAATGTATATACTGCATGTATGTGAGACAAGACGGGGTACATGAGCCGACATCCTCACCTCCCCTGCTACCTCCTCGATCCCTGGGAGCTGCTGATATTAAAAGGCTCTGTCAGCCCCCCTACTCCCTTGAAGAGAACAAAACAAGGTGACAGCAGGATGTCACAAAGAATTTCAGGGCTTTTCAAATGCATTTTGTCGAGAGAAAAAAAAAGAGAGAAGAAGAAGAAGAAGAAGAGGATTATCTGACATCCAGGGGGGGAAAAAATTCTCTCCTTTTAAAGTGATGTAGCGACTGACTTAGATTAATGCTGAAGTTGGAGAAAAGGGTATAAAAATGGAAAATACTGACAAAAAAAAAATATCTAAATCAAACACACAAAGAGAGTCAGGATTAGGAAAGAAAGCAGGAAATACTGTTGCAAATTCCACAGGATGTATATACAATGCAAGGGGACTACATAGTATACAGCTAATGACTTTCTCATATGTTGCAGTTGCATAGGCTAGCATTTGATATTATGGAATACGCAGTATGTACAGGCAGCCCTAGGCTATCGTTGTGGCTAAAACACCCCCCTGAGCACCGGTTAGAATATCTTCTCCACAATCCCCGATATGTCGGCCAACTGTATGAAGCACAGAGTGCCGAAGTTGTTCTGACATAACGCTCATGAGCTCTGAGGGCGAGCAGCAAAGCAAAAAGAAAAAAAAGGCACCCTCATTTGCAAGAGTAACGTGACATTCTGCCCACTTTAACACTGACATATAAAAACCTAATACATATCTGTGAAATTTAGCAGAAGGGTTTGTGCCACTGTCTCTGGTATTCTCTAGCTAGCTAGGAAGATTTTAACTTTTGAAGTGCATTATTAATGTGAATTGACTGTACTTTTTAACTGACACCCATTCCAAAAAAAAAAAAAAAAACAAACACAAGAACAACTTGAATGACTTCTTGCTTGTTCATTATAAAGGCTCACACGCAGCCAGCCATGTCTTGACAATGCATTCATAGTAATTCTGTTAATAGTTAGATTACCAGAACAGTCATCCGGCCTTTAAATTGAGCTAACCCCAGATTTGCATGCACAGGGTGACGTCTCATAGTTGCACTTAGTTGTAGTGCACAGTGTTAGGCAGTTGTGCCCTCTTTTTTTTGTTTTTTTTTTGCAATTGTAAGTGTGCTAAATGGGTCTACAGATAATGAAGTCTCAACTTACCCCTGCTTGCTTTACAGACTTGTTTAATATGTGCACTGAATGAGTGGTGTAATGTTTAATGAATAGGCTTTAGACACTGCAAATGTTTGCAACGATACGTGTTTGTTTCCTCCCTTCTGCTTCGCCACATATTATCACTTCTAGGTCTTTAATTTGTTGCCGTCCGATTCGTTCAAGCCTTTTATTTAATTGCAGTGTTTTTTTTTTTTTGTTCATACTGTTTCAATAAAAAACTGAAAACACTCCACCAAAGATCTCGTTAAATTGTTCGCTAAAAGCTGTCTTTGTCGCATGAAAGTATCTCTGCATAGCAATTTCAAATATCTGTTTATTGTCATTTCCCCCTCAATTAGATTATGTAGTTACCATGGCAACAGCTAAAAGTGAGCGCGTCATTGAGAAGCATTGTGCTCGCTCTTGAGTCAGGTCAAAATACTTGTAACTGGTAAAAAAAAAAAAAATCCAGTACACTCGTTTTCTATTTCCAAGTGCAGCACACAAACATTATTAAAAGCTTCCACAGGGGCAGCATTCACCTGCCCTGCTCTGATTGGCCCGTTTAAGTAATGCTTCAGATTTAAAAAGAAAAAAAAAAAACTTTTTTTTTTTCAGCAGGCAGGCAGACAAACAGCACCAAATATGGAGGAGCCTCGAAACGTTGAGTCCGTTGAGCCCTCTGACAGTTAGGTGTGTTTTTTGTGTCGTGTTGTGGAGTTTTTCGTACGGCGCTGTTAAGCTGAGGCAGGGCTCCAACAGCAGGCTGCGAGTCGCACAGAGATGCTCTGTGTCTGGCCTCCCCTCTCCTCCGTGTGGTTTTAGGCAGCGGCCCAACACCCACCAACCCCAGCCTCTGGCCCAACGGCGGGGCTTCATAACTCTCTTTAGCTCACTCTCTTCGCCTCAGACTTCTGGGAACAATGGAGTCTTTTGAGAGGGGCAAACGGAGAGGCTATGGGCCGTGGCTGTGAAGCTGCTCGCCCACAGCTCCCTCTCTCTCCTGCTTCGGCAAAAGGGGGGAATTCTGTACATCGCTGCAGGGTGGAGTCACTTCCTGGGTGGGCCCAGCGGCGATCATGTGCTCTTACATGCTCTTAGAAATCACTCAGCACAAAATCGCCAACTCCGTGCCCTCTGAGCACATGTTAAAGCCATTATGGCAGTCATGCAGCAGCAGAACGTCTCAGCAAAAGGCAGCTATTAAGACACATCATAAAAGTGTGAGAGTCATGACACGTGGTCTGAACGCACAGGTCTATGTCTCATCTTTAATTACCGGACTCCCAACGGCCTGCTTGTGTGACGTGCGGGCATGAATGTGAACCGAGTGTACGGAAGCTCTGTGTGTTTGTACACAGTATCCGTAAACACGAACACAGTGTACGAGCTCATATGTGTAAAATGAATCAACGTGTTCATCAGAGGTTACTCCCAAAGTTTTTTTTCCCCTCCCTTTTCCTGTACTCATCTAGAGGTGAGTGAAAAACAGGAAGGAAGAAAGCGCTCAGCTCCTGCAGACAGATACCTTCTCGTCTAACCTAAACCAGACCGGCGCATGTGGATTCAGCAGGAGAATGTCTGTTTATTTCGGTCTAGTGGCAACCAGAAATACACGGTCACTGTAAGTTGCCTGTTGTAACATATTCCACACAGAGGACGGTCTAATTTGGTCATCGGTTCCTATTTGTAGTAAAGCTGTTGATGCTATCTCAGCAAAAACTAATACCAACAGTAAAGGAAGATTGTAAAGCAACAGTGGCTCCTGTTAGATTTGTTCTATGACGTTTTGTAGCCTGTCCGAGCTCCGGCCATCAGTTCAAAAACAAGAGAAGCGTGAAATTCTGGTTGCGTTACTGTTCATTACAAAAGATGTTTTAGTCCTTTTGTGTTTATATGAAGTTTATAAATCACTGAGGAAAGAATACAAACTCTGTCTGCTCTGCAATAAGCAAGTACAACAGTACAAATATACAGAAAAAGCTATTACACCACACCCAGGAAGGAACGGGAAAGGAGCTACTTCTTTAAATAAATACAATTTAGCTCTACGTTAAATATACAAGATTTTTTTTTTAAGTATCAGAAAATAGCTTTGGCCACTTCTGGTTTCCTTTTAATGAAATATTTCATGATAAATAAATAAAAATTAAAATAAAAAAAACTATACAAAACAGTTGCTTGCATTTTCTTGAACAGGCAGAATTTTTTTTATTTTTATTTTTGTAATGTTGGATGTCAATGAAGTCGTACACTGGTTTGATTTTTTAAAAATGAGTAATTAGTTAAATAAGTTGGCTTCTTTTATCCAGTGAAATAGCAATATTCTGTGACCATCTTTAGGTAAAATCCTGTCTAAGCACATCAGTTATGTTCAACTGCATTAACTCATTTGTGCCACTGAATGTTTTCTTCTTTGAGAACTTAATAGACAAAAACCAACCGGCTGACTGTATTTTGATATCAGACCCCTCTTACGTTAATAATTAAAAACAGCTATTTGCTCCCTAAATCACTTATCTTCATCTGGTTTACAGCTCATGCTATGTGAGAGACATCCAGAATAGGCTGACACATTCACACCTATCAGCACTACGGAGCTGCCAGTTCATCAGCCGGCACGTCCTGACTGTGGGAAGAAGCTGCAGAATGTGGAGAATACACAAACTCCACACAGAAAGGCCTCATCTGGGCAGCTTCCTATGTCATACAGTCAACAGCTGACTGACCACACCCTTAATTCAGCATCTTTATAAAACCATTATCCTCAAAGCTTTTGGCTGTGATGCATCGAGCTATCAATTAATGCTTTGTTTAAATCTGCATGCATTATAACTACAGGAGAATGCAGAGTGACAAGACACCGGTGTAAACAAGCAGCAGGTTTCCATGTATCCCATGTAACCCCATGGAGCTGACATGAATACCATCCTCCAGCAACCGCAGCAGCGTCGAACCCCCACATGTCAAGCCTATAGAGTGCAGGGGTTTGTGATGTCATGACAAAAATGTCAGCCAATCGGCCTTTGAGTGCCACAGACAGCTGAGCCCGAGGGTGGATCGGGGGGGTGGAGGAGCGCGGGAGGCTGCACAAAGTTGGGTGACAGCCTCAGACAGTGTGCTTGTGTGTGGTTATGTGCAGTACTGGTGATGCAGAAGATAAGTGAATTTGATTGTGTGTTGCAGCAGAGAGACAGTAAAAGCAGAGAAGGATCGGTGGTGTGTGTGTGTGTGTGTGTGTGTCTGTGCACGTGTCGGGCTACTTAATAGGTGTTAATGTGATCTCTAAATGGGTGTTTGTGTGCAAAAGTGAGAAGGGGGCAGTGATTTTGGTGGGCACATGTGTGTTTACAGTTTTATTAGCATGTGAGTGTGGTGTGTGTGCGCTCATACAGTCAGGGCATAAATATACAGTACAGTGGGCTACAGTTGTGTGCGGGTGTTTTTGCACCACACAGTTTGTACTTGTGCTCCTACGTGTTCGCATTTGCATATTCCTCCCTGCACATCTGGCATCCCACTACATGAAGCAATTAAATTTTATTTCTTCCAAGTGACATGACATGTTGACTGATCACAGGCGAGTCTTTGTCTGCGCTGGGTGCCACACATGTTCTATAAGAGGCCCTTATTGTTTCATACAGAACTCTGCCTCACTGATCCCTCTGATACACAGACACGTTGTGGACCACCTCTCCCTGTCTGTCTCCCTCCCCGTCTTTGTCCCTCTTGTCCTATATGTTCATGTGGATTGTGAATGTTTCATTGTGCGCAGAGTCATTGGCACGAACAGGCGCCCACTGCCACAGGATACGCTGCCAAGCATCTAGGATACACTATGTACCGGTTCACTTTCATAGTCACGTGGCTTCCTGTTAACTTAATGTTGTCCTCAAGAATATAGGATTAGGATAAATATATTTTTGTGGTACTTTTGTCTGCAACACAGTGGGCCCAAGACTTCAACATTCAAGTCCAGCAGATCCGAGGTACAACACTAGCATGGTGTGCATATATTCACAAGTTAATTACAAGCAGAAATGCCCACATGCTAAAACTTATGTACAAAACATGTGTAAATATATCATTAGTATGTAGAAAAGCTCCGTCCTTTACAGTGCAGAGTGTTTTTATTTTTATTTTTTGAAAGCGTACACATCAAAAATACTGTGTTTGTCAAATCTACTGCTGAAAACAACCTCAGGTCGACAGGTAGCCAATAAATCCTCCAGTGTCACACTGAGTTTTTACACCTTTGCTATTGTCTCTCACTCAAACCTTAGGAGTTTTGTTTCCAAGTTAATGTCAACATGTAGTATTGCATAGTAAACGTGCTGACCTCAAACTTGGCAGTGAAACAAGTTGCCAATTTGATCCAAGGCAGATGATGTTTCTCCTCTGGTTTACTTCTCAGACGTCACACAGGAGAGAATGCGCAAACTTGCAAACACATGGTGCAGCAGCAAATTTAAATCGGCATTACCTCTGTGCGCTTCAGCTCAGCGTGCAGAGTTAAGAAGCTTTAGGCTTTTGCATAGTCCTACTGCAAAGATTTTCTCTTTTTAAACTTCCTTTTGTACCTCTAATTATCAAAAACATATTGCAACAGGATGCTTTCCGATAGTTACTGTATGTGTAAAATTACTTTCAGTTGTAGCATTCCGACTGTGACTGCACAGCCATTTGTTTGACATGGCTTCCAGGCAGTCAGCACCTGCTTATACGATGATTTGACGTATGTGTCTGACGAGCAGACCCAATTGCAAACTGCTCATTTTAATTCCACAGCTGCAATTGCCATCAGCTGTGAAAGACGTGCTGGAGCCCTGAGCATGTCCACATTAACTCGCTGTGAAAGGCTATAAATAAGCATAATCTTGCCACTAAATTAACCATGCAATGACTAATACAGTTAGTTCCTGAAGACCTATGTCAGTTCAACACACCAGCAACTTCACTGCCAAGTTTGGGGGAGTTGAATCCAGAGCACTTAGAAGGAGAAAAGCCTGAAAAGAGAGAGGCCTGTTATTTATGATCTTTCATTATGGCTCTCAGAGGTCTGGCGCGTAGTTTGATAGTGAAACACCACTCAGCCCACATACAACATTACAACAAGAGACATGCCATGCATGTGCCATGAGAACACCACCCATGTGCTGCACGATGTCACATGTGTACTTGTGGGGTCTGGTGGAACTCCTACAGAATCTTTGAAAGAGCTTCTATGATGAGGTGGAAATAATGCCACGTGAAACCAGATGGTGGCTTTCTGTCAGTGTAGGTGTGAGCGTTTTACGAGGCGATGCCAGTGCGATTCAATCGAACAATTGTTGGGAGAAACAGAGAGCCGGTCAGGGGATGAGAACACATATGGGTGCACATCATTAATCTTGAACTTGTCAGCACAATGATGCTGCTGTTTTCTCAACAGCTGTGAAACAGAAATTACAACAGTAATTAAAGTTTTGAATGCGGTTTATATCTAACTACAGCATCAAAATTAAGTCAACAATTAAATAATAATTATTTTTTCCCCCAAGACAAGATCAATTCAAGTCCTGTACACTTATAAAAAATAACATTTCATGGTCTAATAAATAACTTTTCTGCAGACAAGCTATATTACTGTGCTCATCTTGTTGTTTGTGTTGTTGGTTACTTAAAATCTGCTACTACTGATAATAATCACAACATTATACAACATTGTTTGGGAATATAAATCCTTCTAAAAATGTTAATGCTGGTTACAGAATGACCCACTGAGGCACAGTGAAGTTACAACCAACATTTTTGCATTGGCTTTGTTATATTGCACCCTCTACAGGCCAAATCGATACATTGCAATTACTGAATTTAAAAAGTATTTAGACTGTTTAGATTTTTTCTTAATAGTTGAACTCAGTGACTAATTAGCAAGAGTCATTCAAATGTCACATAGCTCAATACGAGATTCAACTTATCTGCCATTGTCATTAATGAATTGATTCATATATGGCAAGTAGGAAAATCATTTATATATTTCTTTTATAAAAACTTTTTTTGTGCAGGGGAATGTGTACAGGAGCTGGTTTTTAAGGGGATAGTATGCAGATGTTGTCATTATTCAGCTGCTTTGTCATGGGGATAAGATAAAGTTGCTTTACAGTCTGACATTGCAGTGGCAGGTTTAAATATTCTGACGATCTAAAAAATACGTTTTTAATTATTGTAAGATCAAAACTGTTAACAACAAGCTGGAGATCTATTTTACTTACAAATAAATACAACATTTTATATATATTTAAAATAAGACAATATGAAAACTGGCAATTTCTTCAATGAATATGTGGGGGGAAAACAAAACGTATTTTTCTTTTTAAGCCTGTAAAATTAGATTATAGGGAAACTATTTGCTTAGTCTGGCCACGATGCGTTAATATGCTCACTTTAGTTCCAGGTGACAGCTGCAGTTTGCCTTTATGTTTTTTTGTTTTTTGTTGTTTTTTTTTTTACTTCCAGGGTTTTAACAAACCTGCCGCTGATTGGTCCAATTTTGACATCCACAATCCCTGACCAATCAGAGCGCCGGAGCCTTGTTGGTACATTAAGGAAGAAAAAACAGCTGTCCACAAGCTGCACAAGAGGAATATTTCAAACCGTTGTGCCGCAGTTTGGCTCTAAACTCAAGTATGTATGGAAACTAAAAACTTTGCTTTACCAGACAGTGTTTGTAATGTCGCAGGTTATATGTTAAACGTAGCCAGGGCTTACGAGCTAGCACTGTGGCTAGCAATACACTGTTAATACTTTAATGGCCGATAACTGCTGATTTCTCTCACTTGGTAATTTAAGCCTCGTCACAGGACCTTCACGGCTGTAGGTATATCATTTACAGGGGACTTTCTCCTATCTGGAGGACGGTGAAATGTGTATATTCGAGAAGCCAGGTGACCTTTCGGTGGACGAGCTAGCAGCCTCGGTAGCAAAACAGTAATGTGACGACGTGTTGTGTGACCAGTTAGCAATGGTGCAAGGACGGGGGAGCGTCATCAAACCAGGTGAAGCAGACGCGTGTGAACGCAGCCCAAAGCTCATAATGTGCGATTAAAAAAATATAACTTCTGCTGCAAAATGTATCTTGTGGCCAGTACATGCCTAGTAAGCCTGTTGCAGCACATATGAAAGAAAATACAAATTGCATATTTTGAAAAGGAAAAAAAGAGAGGCTCAAATAATTCAGTATGTAGGCCTTTGATCGCTGCTGGAACAATTTTCGCTTTTGCTGACATGATATCGAGACGGATTCAGTTTTATTTGTGCAACAGGAGTGCACCTCGGGATTATTTATAAAAAGAAAAAATAAATAACCGACATATACTGAAGCTACAAAGTCTTTGTTTACATTTCCCCTCCTGTCTACAAGTGCCTGAAAGCTGCGCTAGTCAGAGAATAAATGTGCAGAATGCGTGTTTAAAATGTACACGACTAAACACATTGCCGTAAACGTTGGGTTCAACGTATTTCTGAGGCTGTGAGGGCGCATGCAGTCGTGAGAAGGTGGATGTCAGCACGATAAATCTGGCACAAGACGGGCCTGCCATTTTGTCTCACCAAGCAGAAGATGAATGTCAAAATGCACCAATTTATGCACAACTTCACTCATTTGTTTTGTGTATATTGTATGTATACACTTCCAATAGTAACTGAAAGGTGGTGGCAAAAAAAAAAAAAAACGACGAGAAGATATTTGCGGTCGTCGCCAGGTGTTGAGTGTAATCAGTTTAGCAGGTGGCGTAAGGCAACCACACCGGGGTAAATAAGGTAATGATGGGAGCAGGTCTGCAGTATCCTGGTGCTGTGCTCACTGTAGGCAACTAGTGTTTAAAACGGAAACGCCTGATTTCCATAACAATGAATCAACGATGTTACAAAGTGTGGGTCTGTTATCTTATGCAGTGTTTGGTGCTTTATAATGTAACCTTGATATCCCTGAGATGCATTAGCATACCTTGACGAGACGGGACTCCTTCAAGGCATAGCCAGCAGCTAAATGCTGACCAAAGAGCTTCTCAGCTACTCCCACACCACAGCTGTTCACTCTGATCAGCTGTTTGTGAACAATCCTACATCATTGAACTGGTTAAGAAATGTGTGCTTTTCTTTCTTTTTTCCAACAGAAAGAAAAGTCTGTGTGTTCCACTGCCAAACATCTACTCTGCACAGACCAATAAAATGGTGAGATGTTGTGTTAACTATTCCAGATATTATTTTAATTTGGCTAATGTTAACTATTTTTCTTTAAATGCCTTTTAATAGGAGGGATTTCCATTGCTGAATTTGTGTGCACTGCATGAGGAATGACCTACTTTACAATAACAATATGATAGGATATAGGAATCAGACATTTTCATTAACGCTATCATGTGCAGCATAAACTGTACCTTCTCAATGCTATTGCAGTGCAGTATTACCCACTACTTTGCTTGCTAAAATTAACAAATACAAATCTGTAAATAATACTTTTGCTAGTAATAATACATAAGTTGCATCCCCAAATGTGTCACAACTGATAAAGCAGACAACTCAAACAGGAGGTTAAAAGCTGTTTAAAATATGGAAGTGATTGGACTTGTATTTGTAGAATTGTTTATTATGTAATACTTAAGTGACATTTTACCTATATTTTGTGTCAGTTTGCTAAACGTCAGTATTTTCTTCATTTGTTAAATAGGTGTGACAACTGCCAAAGCCCCGTGTGACAGACAGCCTTCAGGGAGCCAGCTATACCACCCCACAGAAGATGGAAGAGTCTCCTCACTTGTACATCTCAGAGCTTGAAGACAATGAGGATATAGAGGAAGAGGAGGATGATGAGGATGATGATGATGATGATGATGAAGACATTTATGAAGAAGAACTCGACTTGACTAAGTCTCGCTACCCAGAGCCTCATAAGCTTCCCAAACAGGATACTGAGAGAAATCCCTTTCTCTGCCAGCACTGTGAGAGATGTTTTACAAGCAAACAAGGCTTGGAACGACACATGCACATTCATACTGGGGCGAACGATGAGGGACACAAAAGCGATATGAGCAACATGTCTTTTGGTTCAAATTTAAGTCAGCTGCAGCATGAAAAGACAAAGCCTCTGGATTCAGGGAGCTCAGTCATGCAGCTTCATGCTTCATCCCCTACTAGCCCGAATACGTCTGCTTTGTCTGCTGGAGATCACGCTGCCCAGTCACACAAGCCAGGAGTACAAGATGGGCACCATGCTTGCAAGTACTGTGAAAAGGTATTCACAACACATACCAACAAGAGACGCCATGAGCGCAGGATCCATGAGAACCACCAGCAAGTCACACATGTGGAAAAAACGCAGCTGCCACAAGAGGAGAATCCTCAGAGAATAGTCAGTGAATCCTCTCAACAGCAAACACAGCTTGGTGAGAGTGCAGCACTTGCAGCTGTTCTGGAGAATGAAGGTGAACACACAGAACAATACATGCTAGATGTCTCTAGCAATATTTCTGAGAATCTTAGCTTTTACATTGATGGAAAGATAGTGTCAACAAGTACTGTCAGTAACTGTGAAGCAGCTGAGGGTAATTCTGGGTCTTCAACTTTAGTTGGACTGGATGCCCTGATTCTAGACCCCACCCAAATCAGCCAGGTTTTAAATACAGATTCAGTTGCAGGCAAGGAAATACCTGGTCAACCACTTGCCAAGAGGAGAACTGCAACACCACCTCTCCTACCACAAATTAAAACTGAACTGGAGTCTGAGGTGGTCGTGTCTTCATCCTCGTCATCACTTGTATCTTCTCTAATAGAGAATCTGCTTCCTCAAAATACAGAGTCTACAGTTGTGCAGAAAGAAAGAACTGTGTTTTTGTCGCCAAAGCTGAAGCAGCTTCTGGAGAAGCAGGACGGCCTTAAACCTACACTTGCCCTCATCACAGATAGCCAGAAGCCATGCTCACCTGTGTCTCTTTCTGTCCTACCCTCTGGAACAGGGAGGTTTAAAAGAAGAACCGGCTCTCCCACAAGCTCGACACAGCAAAATGAAGAAACATCAACACCAGATACAGGAGATTTTGATGATGTAACTATGGGACAAACAGAGACCCAGCAAAGCTCACCTGTGCACCAGACACTCAACGAAAACAGTGACACGACCCCATCTGTCGCGGAGCCGACAGTGAAGCCTGTTTTGACGGACAGCTGGCCCCCTGTGACTGGTGGTAATTCCTGTAACCAGCAACCTCTGGATCTTTCTAATGCAATCAAAAGAAATGAAGATGTGGCTTTGGCTGATGCTGTGCTGGATTTGAGTTTGCAAAAAAAGAGCTTAGGTGAATCTGAACCAACATTAAGTTTTATTTCGCAGACCGTTTTGAAAGAAGGAGAATCAAGTACATGCCTGGTGGAGAAAGCCTTAATGAAACTTGGAGAACAAAGCATGAGCCTGGGGAATCCTGAGGCTCCTCTAGTCACAGACTTTACCATAGTTACAGGTTCAGACATCGTGACTCCAGTGGATCCCGTTACAGACGGGCTTGTTTATGGACTTACCCTACCCACCACTTCTCTGACTCCATCACCTGCCTCTCTTACCCCTGTTGCTCTGCAGCCAGCTTCACCGTGTACGATAGCGTTTGCTTCCCCAACCTCACACACTGTGCTCCCTACTGCTCCTTCATTAATCACACTTTTGGCACCACCACCACAAATTTCCAACCCCTCAAACCAACCAATCCAGGTATTAGCCCCAAATATATCTCCTGAGCCCTTGGTAATCTGCACAGAAAATGCATTAAGTTCTTCAGAGTGTGATTTAACAACTGCATTTGCCACTACAAATTCTGCAAACCTCGTCACTCTCTCCCAACCCCTTGACCCGACTCTAAATCTCCCTGGCCACGTGTTTCTCACTGATCAAATTGCTCTCAATCCACCTATAGTTGAGTCCACTCCTGTGTCAGAAGTGCCGTTCACACCCACTGTGACTTTAAATGATTCCCTACTCAACTCGTACAACATTGCCAGCAACACAGTGTTAATAGAGTGTACAATAGCTCTTGAAGCCCCGGGGAGTGTAGTCCCTGCTGCAATTACCTTACAAGAAAATACTGCTGAGTCTCCAGCTCCGACACAGATGGTTGTTAATCACATAGAACAGCAACAGATTGTATCGGTGCCCAACCCTCAAACCGCAGACCCCACTATTCTTGTGTCCTCCATCGCAGAATCAGTCACTCTGTCCACTGCAGTGATACCTGATTGCCCCTCTGTAGCTGAGTCCATTCCTGACCCAGAGCCTGTTGTCAGTCCAGAGCCACCAACCGCAAAAGATGAGGACGCTGCTAACAGTTCTGTTTCCATCCCTGAAATCTCCACTGAAACCTCTCCCCCTTCTGAGAAAGCTGAAGAGGAGGAGCCCTTAAATAACACACCGGCTGATGTACAACAGCAGACGTTCACCAAGAATTTCATCTGCAATGTGTGTGATAAGCTGTTCCATTCAATGAAGGAACTGGGCCACCACGTAGGTGATCATGCTGATGAATGGCCCTACAAATGTGAGTTCTGCGTGCTGCTCTTCGGCAAACCCTCTGCTTTGCTCGATCATCGATCGAGCCTCCACGGTGTCGGAAAGACTTATGTTTGCAGCGCATGTACTAAAGAATTTGTCTACCTTTGCAATCTGAAACAACATCAGGAAGAGCTACATCCCGGTCAGCAGTGCACATACACAGAAGAAGAAAAGGGAAAACTAAGACCTCAGAACTACAACAACACAACTAAAGTCGACACGGCGCCCTCGGTTCCCGAAGCTCCGGAGGAACCCAAAAAAGTGGTTAAAAAGGAAGAAGGTGAAGTAGATGTGACTGCTGAAGAACTGTTTACAACAATTAAAATTATGGCTTCAGATGGCGGTAAGGTCAAAGGACCTGATGTTCGCCTCGGCATTAACCAACATTATCCCAGCTTCAAGCCCCCTCCTTTTCCTTACCATAACAGATCACCTGCTGGTTCAGTGGCTTCAGCCACAAACTTCACCACCCACAACATCCCACAGACATTTAGCACAGCTATCCGGTGCACCAAGTGTGGGAAAAGCTTTGATAACATGCCAGAGCTTCACAAGCATATCCTGGCTTGTGCAAACGCCAGTGATAAAAGGCGATACACACCCAGAAAGAATCCTATCCCACTGCGCCACTTTGCAAAATCTCAAAATGGAGTGCTGTCGACTACAAATTCTACTAACGGACTGAACGCTTCGAACAGAGTCAGTCATTCAAACAGGTCCAAACATACTCAAGAACCACCAGTAAAGTTCAAAGTGCTGAACAAAAGGAAGAAGAAGTTGGTCCAAAGGGTGATGCCACAGAGGAACAAGTCACTTTCCTCATCACATAAAGTGTCATCTGCACAGGTGGGTGAGCGACAGGAAATATTCGTCTGCCCGCACTGCAGCAGGGAGTTCACAATGCGTCGCAGTCGAACCAAGCACATGGCTGTCTGCCCCAAGAAACCTAAAGAGATAAAGAAAAGGAAGGAAGGAGGAATCTCCCTGACAAAGGAAAACGACGGACGCTTGCACAGAGGGGTTTCTCATGTTGAAGAGAAACAGCAGTCCTCACCTCCGCATAAAACAAGACTGCAAACATCTGGTTCTGCAAAGCGGCCTGCCATCCTACCAGTACAGACCGTCTTTTCCAACAAAAGAAGCAAAATAATCATAAAAGAGAGCACACAGCCAAAGCACGAGACGCCCACTCTGAACGAACTTCCCATTGTTCGCACTTTCAACCCGACTATGCGGCAATATAGCCGAGTGCAGCATAGCGTCAAAGGAGTCCCAATAAAAATCACTATAGTGAAACCTCAACAGACTGCACCACAGAAAGATGAGTTGCTTCCCAGCCAGAGCCGAGACGAAGCAACCGGAACCGTTACCAGCAGCTCTGAGCAGAGCGCTTCAGCTTGATGTCGACTCAGAAGCCCATCTGGGATCAGCAGGTAGTAGAAGCACACTCCACTTAGATTTTAAGCTTGCACAATAATGACAATTATAGTTATGTACAGTCATTATGAACATAGAGGAGTTATGCAGCGTGATTTATGATTTGTGTAATTAAGTAATGCTGATGAAAAAAACACAAACAGCTCTCAGTAGAAACTAAACATCTTAAATGAGAAGGATCAAACAAACTACCAGATGGCTATGAACAGTGCTGCATTTATGTCTCTTCTCAATGTGCGTTTTGTTTGTGTCGTTTTCAGGGCTGCTGTACTGAACTCCTTCAGTGATTCTAAAGGGAGAAAACTGGTAATCACACTGTAAACCCAGCGGACTTGTAGGCTGTATTATACTGTAGAATAAATGGCTGAATTCAGGACAGATGCAACAGACAAACCGAGGATACCACACTGAGTGTTTGAATGCTTTTGTAGCAGCTTTGGAGTTTTGTAGATTTCCTCCTTCGTTTCCGTAAACTTTGTGTCGACGGCTTGGATTTGCACTTGAAGTTAATCTGACTGCTACATGTCACAAATTGGAAAGGAAATTGGAGGAACTGAGCTGGAAGGCTGCTCTCATTTCCTACTTGGTGGGTTTTTCAGAGAGGATGGCAGGTGGCAATCATTTTCAGCATGCATTTGCACTTTTTCTTATCTGTCGTGTGTGGCCTTTTGGTTTAAACTCTTAGTGCATGCCGTCTGTGTGCTTGTACTACAGCTACATTAATTTAGGATGGATTAAGTCGATGCAGTTAGGCCTTAAACACTGAATCTGATGTCGATCCTTTGATCTGGGAGACAGTAACCAATACAAGTATATGAAGGACATGTCAAATGTAGGGAAATGGTAAATGTGGATGATTGTTTCTGAACTCAAGATGACAAAATCACACCTTTATAGTGCAGTGCAACATTGGCCACAAGCTTTCTGTCAAAATTCTTATGAAGGATCAGCAATTCCGATGAGGAAAGTCTGTTTATAATCATTGGTGTGAATGTAACATTTAATGCTACAGCCTTTTCAGGCCAAAATCCTGTATTACGTGGTTGGCCCAGCTGCTACTGTATGTATTTGTATTTGAGGATAATGATTTATACGTGCCATCTAATGTATAAGTTCTGACTTAATGTGGCATAAAAGTGTTTCCCACACAAAGAATTTATTTTGGTGGTTCAGTCAGAAAGAGTCACCCTCACTTCAACAAATTGAAGCTGCACATTCGACTTGTGAAAACATACCTTTAAAAGATTAATGTGAACTTACATGTCGTAAAGGAGAATGTAGTGTGCAGCCAAATTACATGATTAATTCGGGGGGCTTACAGGCCACCTTGATAAATTCTTGACTTTTGGGAAGCTGTGCAGTTTGATTTATTTGCACTGCAATCCCAAAAAGAAGTACTATGATGAAAAAAAAAATCTGTACAGCTTGAATGCACCGATGCTGCTTTGAAATATGTTCACTTCTAAACGGCGTTGACCAAGCTAACTCTAGTGCTTGCCTTTTCTGCATTTCTTCTGAAATCCTAATATTCCTACAGTAGTCAAATTTGCTTTTTTTTTTTTTTTTATTTTATTTTGCACCTCTTCTGCAGATGTTTGTCAGCAATATTGTTTTGTGGTATTTTCGTCACCCAGTGACTAGAGGTACAAGTCTGTTAAGTCTTCTTCATCTGTAACATACAACCACGTCACCGTTGCTTATATTCTACGTAACAGTTGCCAATGGTTTAATGTGTGAAGTGTGTATATTTAAATTCCCACATGTATGAATCAAAAACTAGAAATGTGATCAGTTATGGGTTAATTTTTTTTTCCTGAAAACCTTGTAGTGGCATATGAAAATGGTTTTATAAGCTACTAGTTTGAAGATCCAGTGCAATACAGGGTAGTTATTTCATTATGATTGAGTTTTATTAATTTGGTGAAACTAAAACTTGACAATAGTCTGTATTAGAGAGAAAGAGAGAGAGAGAGAGTTATAGTACTTCTACGTTTTTGCCTTTGCAAACCTTGCTGGTTATATCTCTTTCATACAGACATACTGCAAAATGTTGGATGTACAGGACGGTTGGGGAGACTGTTATTTAACTGTGAAAAGTGCTTGTAGCATTTCAAAGTGTAAATTGAGTCATGTATATTTATTAATAATTTAAAATCATGTTATCAGTCTTTGAACAATTCCTCTATGATTTGCACTAAAGTTTTTTCAAGCGAGTGTTCAAAATAAATGGCGAATGTGAAGGTTGTATGTGAAGCTTGTGTGAAACTTTCTTTGGTTGAACAAGTTGATTGGAATTCTTTGAAATAATATCGAGACCTGCTAGTATACAGCCGACGCAGCGTGTGCCCACAGAACCCATCCGTAGCCAGGAGGTGGCACACTTTCCTCACGTTAACCTCTGGAGAGGTGGATTCGGCAGAGTGAAGGGGGCTGAATAATACCGCTGCATCTCTCCTGCACTCCTACATTCTGTTTGAAAAATCCATTTACAGTGACATGTCTTTTTATGCTGTTTTTTAAAGAATCCTCTCCACCACCTCTACTTCAGCATTTGGAACCGGGATGCCAAAAAGTCTTCATGCAGGAATATCTACAGCTCCCAGCTTGTGACCTGTTTTCTGTGAAACCGGCAAATTATCATACAGAATAGCTGTTTAAAACCTTTAATGTTATTTAAGATCTGCAACAACAAAATCTGAAACAATTGTGCTGCACTTTTCTTACATTTCTTCTTCCTGCATCACGGGTAAATAAGGTTGCTCAGCTAACAAGTATCAGGTTCGTTTAGCAGTGAAATCCAATGTACCTTTTCCCTATTTTACAGTAAATTAAACAACACCGTTGTTTACTCAACCTTCAAGTTCTTCAAATGGAATATTTAATTGCTTTTTTACAAATCTCAGCTGTATATTTTCCCATTAATGTATTCAGATTGCTTTCGCTGAACTTTGCAACCCGCAAACATCGACTGTAATTCAGTTAGCAATAAGCAGTTTGTGCCTCTTGTGTAACGATTGTTTCGCAGCTCCGTGCACTTTGGGGTTAAGTTAACCTAAGAAGTGATGAGTCAAGTGGTGAGTGACTAAAGTGGAGGAAAGTAAAGTGAAAGTGTGGCCACTGGCTTTAGCTGGAAGAACATTTTAGGCCTTGATTCAACTAACTCAGGGCAAAGAGCAACAGCAGGAGCAGCTTCATAAACCAACAGGCCAGCTTGACTCCACAAAACTCATCTGCACAAGCTGAGTTTGGAGGCAAGAAGTAATTAGCAAAATTAGCTGTGGGTGGAGGAAGTAGCCTAGTGGTGCAAAGTTTAGCAAATGCACAGTGGAAGGAGAATTTTACTGGTCGAAATAAAGAGGCGCTAAGATGAGTTTGCTTGTGAGTTAAGAAGCGACAAGCATCTGACAGAACATTAGTCTGCAAGAAGGATGTGTCTTGGGAATGTGAGCAAAGGTCCAATCAAGTGGCCCTCAGCTGTCTCCACCTGTTGTAATAGGACAAATCACGCCTGTCATTCAACCACAGATCAACCAATCATAGTTCAGACGATGGAGTGACCATGTGTTGGCAATCATTAGACTCAGAGCTGCAAAAATGTTTGTCCTGTGGATTAGGACTGCACAAAGGATATCAAAAAATAAAAATCAGGAAAGAAGATCTCGTGAGGATTCTGGAGATTCCCTCAAAACTGTGAGTTTTTACCAAAATATAAATAGATGCTCTGTGTTTATTGTTTGAAACTGCCTAAAGCTACCAGGGATGTTTTTGAAGTGTGTAGCTAATAAGGTCTTGCTTTCATTAAAGCGAAAAGATTTTTTTATTTTTTTCTTTGTGGCCAATACATTCAAACTTCCAGCTGTTTAATGAGGAAGCCACGTGAATAAACAGCTTTCACAGTCAGAAACAGACTGAAAAGTCTATTTTTGTCACTTAAAAAGCAAGAAAATAATTAGAATTTAAAAACTGTCTACACAAAATGGTTATTGAACATCAGCTATCTGACAAATGTGGATGTTTTTAAGATCATACAAGCTGATAAATGGTGTGATGTTTTTGACAATTCATCGTTTAAATAAAGGATGGCCTTTTCAACCCAGCTTAGCTGATTAGCTTAGCTTAGCATAAGACCTGGTTCGGTCCTTAGTGAAGAGTTAATCCTCCTAACATCTCTAAAGTTGACTTATTTACATATTACACAGTGCATTTAATTTATTCAATGTGCACATGACACGCACTCTGCAGCCATTTGTGGCGCTACATCCAGTGTTTTTTTTTTTTTTTAAAGTAACGTGAGTTTAATGCTTGTGGATTGTTTGTATCCATGTTTCCATGCCAGTAGTCGTCTTCTTGCTTATTGCACTGCACGTGTTGACATCTAAAGCTGCATTGGCATGATGTTTCTGGCTTCCAGTGTCCAGCTGGCTCCAGCAAATTTGTAGAAAGATGCCAATGTGTTTAGAAATGCAAATTAGTCTCCATGTTTCATTATTGTGTACACTATCACACCACCAGATAACAAACTGCACCGTTGCTCTCACACTTTGTTTGTAGTTTGTGATTGCTTTGATCAATAGTTTATTTCCCACGTCAGAAATGTGACGTCTCATGATGTTTCGGGATGAGAGTGCATACCTCTCATAAGACTTGTCACCTGACCACATCTTCAAAATATGTGTGAAACCATTGTAAGGGGGCTGCAAGGTGCCTCGCTGTTGCCTCGCAGCAAGAAGGTCGCTGGTTCATGTCCCGGTGGGGGCACTGGGATCTTTCTGCGTGGAGTTTGCATGTTCTCCCCGTGCAGCGTGGGTTCTCTCTGGGTTCTCTGGCTTCCTCCCACACAGTCCAAAAACATGTTGAGGTTAATTCTAAATTGTCCGTAGGTGTGAATGTGAGTGTGCTTGGTTGTCTGTCTCTAAGTGTAGCCCTGTGATAGACTGGTGACCTGTCCAGGGTGTCCCCTGCCTTCACCCTGAGTCAGCTGGGATAGACTCCAGCCCCCCATGACCCCAGTGAGGATTATAGATAATGGATGGATGGACCATTGTAAGGGAATATGTGGGCATCAGCTGCCACCCACATGTAAAACCATTTTTCTCCACAGAGCTACAAGTGGGCAAAACAAACAGAGTATCTTCAAGTCCTCTTCACCCAATTTTTATCATGACTAAAAATTGAGTTCATACCCACTAGCGGATGACAGCTCAGTTCAAGCTCTGACCTGTGTCATCAAATGCAATCTCTGCCTCAATTTATTTCAACATGCAGTGCAGTGGGCATGAGTTTAGCTGGAATTTGAACAGTAGTGCAGGGCTAATGATGTAGTTATTTATAAAGAAGTCTTCATCATTATGAGAACCTCTGGAAACATCAATCCGTGACACTGACATAATTGCGGCGTCCCGTTGCGTCACGGCTGCAGCCGACGCCGTACGATGCAGATACACACAATTCAGTAGCAGCAGGTGAGACAAGCTCCGTCTAGTTTTCTGTGTGTTCCATCTAAAGGCTTTTGGGTTTGTTCTCCCCCGGTGAAGCTTAAATTTTCACTCTTCAGAGGCTTTTAGCGCTTTTGTGACAAATGAACACAACTGGTTTGGATTTCTTTTTTTTTTCTTTTTCTCTGCCATGTTCAACACTCCAACAAATGGATTCTGTTCAAATTGAACACATTAGGTGGAGAGCAGTGCTTTGTAATTGAAGTGAGGAAAACCAGAAGCTGTCAGATACTGTACTTCCTAAGATTCACTGCAGATGTCTATTACAAGGCTTTTAACTCACCTGATGTCCTTTTTAGTAATTAAGAACTGAAACAAGTACAATCGCAGGACTAAGGAAACAGCCTGCAGGGGTTTTAAGCAGCAGTGCCTGGTGGATGATTTTTTTTTAGTTCACAGTTGTGCCAGTATAGCGACTCACCACAGCCCCGAGGTACAGGAGCTCCCAGAGCTCACAAGCTCAGCAAGTACTTCAAACCGCGCTGCCGCATTTGTATGCTCAACACAGCTCAGGACCTTAGCCCAAGGCCCTGCTGAATTCTCATAGGAAGTTATGATGAGTAAGTGAGGACGTATGATCAGAGATGATTGAAAACAAAAACATCCATCCCAGAAGTCTGAGTGGAAAGCTTTTGATCCGTCTCTCGTTAATTTCATCATCCTTATTGACAAATTGAAAGACAATTTCAATAGCGAGCTGAAACCAGCAGTGCAGTCATGGGAGACATGGACTGTACATGGGATTGGAGATCTGACCTGTGTCTGGTTTGTCAAAAGTCAAAATGACCGCTAGAGTTTGAATAATGCAGCTTGTGATCTGGATTACATTTGCATGCGCAGGTAAAAAAGTCTGTGAAATGATGACAGGACCTGCCAGGATCACAGTGTTTCGGTGAAGACGAATGAGACGGCTGTGACGCGACGCGTCTGACAGCGCTTGTTCTGACTAATATGACAGTTTTTTTTTTTTTTAGGAATCATTGAAACATCACCGTGTTTAATGAAGGCAGGTTACATGCGGTTACATTTGGTGCAATCAGACACACTTTGTTCTAACCTCTCCTTGGCTAGATTCTTAATCACAGTGAGTAAAGTTCAAATATTTGAACTTTATAGGCTCACGGATCCTAATAGCACTAATTTGCTGCCTCCGACGACTTATGTAAGACTGACTTCAAAGCAAAGATAGACGAATGTCTGGCATTATGAAGGTAACTAACCTCCTGCAAGCGGCGCTGAGTGGAAGCAATAAAACCAACAGGATGCACTGATAAAGTGCTTTTGGAGAAGTCGGTTCTTCCCTCTCAGCATGCAGTTTATGCGGGAGCAGAAACAGACATGGTAACGAGGACATTAATAAAGGATGCGTATCCATTTTTAATGATCCACTGGCCCCTTTAGTTTGAAACTGATTTTTATGTCCGCGCTTGAGTTTTCAGTTCAGAATCCTTGTTGTGCTTTGAGAGGAACTCTTGAATTTTTTTTTTTGTGTGTTTTGCCTACACAAGCAAAGTGCTGCATAAAACCTGCATACACCTGCCTGTTTGTGTGTGAGTGAGACACAGAAAGAGATGCAGTCTTCTCTGTCTATATTTGGAAGATAATCCTCAAATAGGAACGAAAGAGGAGGGGAAAAAAAGAGTTCAGCTTTAGTATTGTGAAGCAACATCGGGTTTGGAGTCGAGTATAAACACACACAGAAAAGGCAACATTGGAGGTGTGCACCAGAATCAGAACATTGCTTTTGCATATTCATCTTGTCCAATATGTCTTCTTTGTACACAGATAACCATCTATTCTGCATCTTGATCATATCTACATTTATGCATGTCAACTCACCACAGAGGAGTCAGATCGGATCAAAAAGAAACCGACATAGTTAGAAACTCGCTACATCATACTGTTGGAACCGGTTCGGCACATACTCTTCCACACATGCACACAGTCGTCTCTGTTCTCACTTTCGTCAGGGGAGAGAGTCTGTCTTCTCTCTGCAGCAGGCTTCTCCTTCTCATTGCTCTCTCTCTCTCTCTCTCTCTCTCTCACTCTCTCTCTCCCCTCTCTCTCCTCTCTCCCCCTCTCTCTTGCTTTGTTCATGCTGTGTTTGCTGTGCTCTCTGTCTGAAGCAGCGCCACACTGGAGCACTAATGAGCAAGGCTGAGAGCAAACCCAACACAGATCTCCCATCAGCTGAGGAGCAGCAGCAACTCTGACAGCGTCTGAGGCCACAAGACGAGGGACTGATCTGCAGTCAGCGGGGAAAGCAGCTGTAGGAAAAAAAAAAGAAAGAAAAGAAAAGGCAAATGACAGCCCTGGGAAAGGCGTAGGAGAGGTCGTGAAGTAGCTTCAAAGGCAAATTAGCAGTCAGTTGAGAGAGAGTCAGAGGAAAAGGGGGTTGCTCCAGTGTAAGAAGCCCGACCTTCTCCACGCTCGGACGCTGACCCTCAGTGCACTTTTTCTCTTTCTGAAGACGGTGGACGTTCCCCGCCTCCTGGAGGAGCGCAGCCATGGAGGAGATGCTCACCTGCAGCCGGAGCCCTTTCTCCCAGGTGTTTGGGCGTCAGGGTCAGCTCATGCAAGCCAGTGAGTGTTGCATCAAATCCGCAAAAATGTCACGTGCATATTGTTAGATTCTTGATTGATTTGCATGCAGTGTTTGAATAATTGATGCACCCTCTGTTCCTTTTGTATTTACACTTATGTCTGAAAGTACACTCATCCAGCAGCACTGTTATGCAAAATGAAGGTGTTTAGGGAGGCAACAGATGAAAACGTGTGTCCCACTTTTACCAATAGGAACTAATATTTTTGGCTCTTTTTAAATAGCTTCTGGCAAAATGTATTATTCAGCTCCCTCAATATTTTAAATCATGTTTGCCTTTTAGAAGCAAATAAGTATTTTGTCTGTCTACTCTGTTGGGAAATTGCTGTGAAGAGAAAAAGAAAAGACTATTCTATTTCATTTCTGCCAATCCAGGAGGATTTCCTCAGACATATAGGTGCTGTATTTTTAGCCAGAGCGATTATTGAAACATTTCTAGCGTAATGCCGCTTGACACAGCGATGTGTTAATGTTGATAGACTGTGATGCTCCTTTCGTGCACAAGAGAGATGTCCGGTGTGAAAATGTGTGCGCTGGATCCGAGCTCACTTTTCATGGTACAATCCTTTGATCTCTGCCTGACTGAACATGCCACAGGTCTAAATAGAAAGGGGGGGAAAAGTCCCCAGCAGGTTTAAATAACAGATAATATTCAGTAACTGTAGAAAACAACAATATAATACAATCTAGTGAAATAGCCCTGCAATAAACACCTTGATCTGAGCAGGAGAGGTGTCACTTAATTACTTTATCATACAGAAGTGGATGCTGTTTGTCCACCTGGCCAACAAAATACCTTTGCAGCATATCTCACGCTGCTGATTGAATTTGCAATGAAAAATACATTATAGTTGCTCCTAATTGCACCTACATACCATGTGGGTTTTTATTAAATCAGTATTTTCTGCACTGTGAGTGCCCGACACCCTCAGCCTCATTCAAACTCCGCTCATGTTCGCAGAGATATGTATTATTTGGTTATGTGACTTTCGTCAGTGCGAGCTGCGTGCTTGACTTTGACGCCTCTGTTTTCGGGATCAAACCTCGCAGCACGACGAAACCCGCCTCAAGTGTTGTTGAGGGAAGTGTTACAAGGTGTCACATTCTGTAATTCCTAAAACAGAAAATGGAAGCCCTTTGGCCACGGCTCGACTAACGCCAAGCGCAGTGAGCTGTGATTTCTCACAGGTTTGCTGCAGATGTAGGTGATTGCGTGTACATGCTCGGACTTGCTGGGCAAGTTCATGCACTGTGGTGCAGAAATATCCTTTTTTTTTAAAGGAGTTACTTGTGCTGAGCTGATCTTTACCTTGTCTGATTTTTATTTTCACATTCATCAATAAATAATGGCTTGCTTTTAGGCTTCTGTTTAGGAAGATGGTGGGTTTTTCTTGGCTCTCCTCAACGCTGGATATGGAAGATGTGTTTTGATGACATATTATACGATGTCTTCTTTTGAATGTCTCCTCGCTCCTCTGTTGATTTGTTTATTGGTTTGTTTGCCTCTTAATCTTGAGTTGTAATCAGAATGGCCTAGATTGGATAGGTTCTCTAATTTGAATGATTGAAATGATTAGTCACTTATGCACTCATCCAGGCACAGGGGGAGAACAAAGCAGGCGGCGCAGCACAGTGGAAAAAAAAAAAAAAAAAAATCAAGAGAAAAAGACACGACCGGTTAAATGTTTGGAGGCATGTCAAGCTTCCTTTGTGCAATGAGCTCTATCGCATCCTGAAAAGCTTATTCACTCTGAATATTCAGCTGTTCTTCTACATTTATTTTACATATGCCCATGAGGTGTTATTGTGTTCCTCCTCTGCTGCTGCTGCTTCTTCTTCTTCTTTTCCCCCCACCGAATTCTAACTAGACTTCAATAATTTCAAACTGTGGTACTTCTCCACCTACTTATCAGGTGAGAGTGTTGGGTGAATTAAACCCAAACGCCACTCTCCGGTTTGTGAAAATGACATTATCGTTGCATGTGTTGTGATGAATTACAGTCAGTCTTGCGCTAGCCCAAGTTATCTATGCTCTTTGAAGCTTGTGCTGCATGTCTGTGATTTGGGATGTGCGAGCGAGGGTATGGGAAGGGAAGGAGGGGGGAGATGGAAGGGGGGAAAAAAAAGGGGATGGGGGAGAGAGGGGCAAGAAAAGTGAGCAAGCTGCAAATTGTGTGAATAAGAGATGGGTGTTTTATTCTATTTTTAGCTACAACCTTACATACTGTTACACAGCTGTTGGAAGGCTAATCCACAGCAGCACTGGCTCCTAATATCTGAACAGTAATTATAAGGGGAGGATTTTTTTTTGTTATCTTTGGCTGTCACCCATCATTGGATCAGGAGTCCCTCAGCTATATGCAAAAGGCCTGCTTGAACTGCACAGAGAAAATCCATTCCACGAGTGTTGCACATGCCCAAAGACTTGAATATAAACAACCTTCTGGTGGTACCCTGGCAGAATAAACACTTGACAGATTTTTTTTTTTTTTCCCTTTCTCATGAATCACGTTCACGTGGCAGTGCCAGGTGCGTAATCCTGCCTCGGTTCTCTTACTCCCCACTGATGGTGTGATTTATGCTGTGTTCGGTGTTGTGATGTCTTGTCACAAAATCCCTCAGCAGACGGTGCTCCCGTTTGTCAAAGGGAGGCAGGGGGGAGGGAGGGGACCGTGACAATTCAGTTTTAAATAGTTAAAGTACTTGGGGAAAGTTAATTTCTTATATTTCTGACTTTTCAAGGTTAGTCCGTTCAAGGAAGGTAAGAGCAGTATTCCTACCAATTACCCATTGGGTATAATTGTGCTGTCACCGACTCTCTCTACATGTTCCTGTAATGGAAATTAAAAGATTTGTTCCTCTTGAGGATCAAAGACGAGTCTCAACACTGTCACGGCTGTTTAAAAAGCCAATAAGAGAGAGCTTACCACTCAGAAGCACAAAATGATTAGAAACTTAGGCTGCGTAGGCTTTTGATAGAGGTGTGAATCAATATAATCACTTGAACAGATACTGAGGTTTCTGCCTCTTAATACTCACCTTCTGGCTGTTTGAACAAAAGCTTCCTCTTGTCTCATGTCGTTTCTTGACCCAAATTGCAGAAATCAGCCCCATTCAGTCTGAAAGTACTCGTAAATCAGCATGTAAAAGAGGATCAAACACTAATGTTGACTGTATTTCCTTTGCTTTCATTTATTTGCTGATTTCTTCAATAAATTTGATTTGCTCCTTTGTCATGGGAGAATATACAACTTTGCCAATGTTTTTCTACTTGCAGAACATAACCGAAACCCGTATAAAGAACAGAGCAACTGACAAATAAGAATACAGATTACAAAGCATGAATAAATACTCATTTCTATTCACACAAGTTATCTGATAAAAATCTGAGCCCCTAAATATAAAGAGCCGATTGTCACCGACAGGGTTTTTATAATGACTTAATCCCATTTTAATCAAGGATTCACTCCCGATGAGATTGTGACTTTCAGGGATGACATTGGAGTTAGTTTTAGCAGACAAAGTTGGAAACCGTTCCCTTTTCTTACCTATCACTTTACCCTTGAATATCCTCTTAATACCTCAATAAAGCGTCGGTAAATCCCCGCTCAGGAGAGGTGAACGTGATTCGAAGTTTTAATATGTGACCACTGCAGGTGTAGAACATATTTTGGGCTTCTTTGATGTGATTAATTCCTCTCCTTCTTCCACTTGTGTTATGGTTCCAGCACACTCGCAAGATTCCTCACACCTCCTTTACCCGGTGGGCTTTCCTGCAGAAAGAGATTAGCTTCATGCTGCTGGTGTTGCTAATCATGTAGAAGGAGTCACGTTGCAAGAGGTTTGGTATAGCCAGTGCGTGCACTCGACAAGGTAACTTTTTTTTTTTTTTGCCTTTCCACGTGGCGAGCCACGGATTTAGGCTGTTTTCTGGAATCTCGTTTAGTTTTTTAATTTATTGCGTTCGCTCTCAAGGGAAGCTGTTGATGGGCGAAAATGAAACGCTACACCGCTGCGACGCCGCAAAATCTTGGCAATGGACTCTTTCGCGCATGCTGTCCTTTAGATGCACGTTTAGATGAAATCATGTCACGTTAATTGAAGAAATGAAGCCACATCTCACAGGAGCAGAAAATAATTCAGGTGGTGACAGAAATTGCTGCCACGACTCAACAACTGTGCAGTACTTTGGGGGGAACTTGCATAATTCCAGTGTTTTGCAGTTTTTGGGATGTTGGAGTAATTGAAAATGTGTTTTTAATTTGTAGCTGTCTAAGATATTTTGTAGTGCATGTTGTAGAATTTAAGGATTACACCGTAGGTTGGGGTCCTTTGGGGGACTTCCTGGTGCACATTGTGCTGATTAGTACTTTATACTGTAACCAGCAGGCGAGGTTGTACTCAGGTAGCTTATTTTTTAATGCAGCTGAGTTGCATAATGGTGTCGTTAATCCTTGGGAATATTTAATATTCCTATAATATATGCTGTATTGTGTAATAAAAACTGTTAACATCATTTCTGGAGCTCCGTCTACAAAGAGCATAAATAACGTCTGGGAAGGCTTAACTTCCTCCCTGCACACAAACATACATCCAGTCAGAGGAAATATGGTGTTTTCTCTCCTCTGCAGTATTTTGGCTTATTGCAGCATAACTCTCCCAATATTATTGTGACTGTAATAACCTCTGCAGCTATTTGAGCCTATAGTTCAGGAAAAAAGAAGTCCATATTAGCAGTGATTTTATGAAGCCAAACATCAGAGGATTTGTTTTTCTTTTACCTCACAGGAGAATAATTATGTAACACGCGCTGATGTACTTTTTGTCTAGACTTGTTATTGACAGGTCAGTCACAGATGAGCGCAGGTCATCCGTGTGCACCAGTGGGCCGAGTTATCTTCACATGAGCTCAGAACCACTGTATTGGTATCCGTGATGCTAAATCCCAGCAGGGAATCGGAGCCACGAATATACAGCTCGG